ACCAATGTGAATTTACCCATATTGTACCTTGTTATGACGTCCAGCAACATCAGAAGAACTCTCCCGGAACTTGGCGAGTATTTAACCCAAACGTGTCCACGAAGGGAAAAGATAGGCAGGCTTGGGTTTCCAAGGACTTGAGACGGCAGAAACGTAAGGCGACAAAACCACGATTACAAGACCAGAGTACGATCGTAACGCCTTGCCGGTAACGGGCAGCTGATCCAGTAAAAAGTTACGCTTAACCAGCTATACAGCTCCCTAACGACGAGCCTAATGTCGTGCAGGGCCGTCTCAGCCTCAACGATTCAAACGCGCGCCGCTGGAACCTTCGTCGTAACCTGTCGACATCGTCTCCATCGAACCGTCCCCTTGGGCCCAGGGCAGGGCTGTCTGACTCTCAACAAGGCAAAAACTCACGGGGGAGGGACAAACGCCCGTATGGGAGAACGGGCACGCTTGGCCTGATTCGGCCGGGCGAGGCTGTTTCCCAAGACCCTGCGCAAGGCCATCGGTGTTCCGTTCCCCGGATGCTTTGGAGCGGATGACCCGGGATCTCGTCTTCTCTTCTTGCGTGACTGAACTTTGATACACCTGTCAGCCAGTCTCGAGTGGCTCGCAACCACCAGGGCTTTCGCAAGAAAAGTCTGGGATGCTCCTGACGCCAGACAAGGTCCGTCCGTAGATAAAGTTTGTGTTTGTTCCAGAACCTCTCAACTTTGACTCGGTGGGACCACTCACGGATCTTGCAGCATGAGACGATGCTTTCGTGTCTAAACTACAGCCGTTGCCGTCGGAGCCAATCACGGCTCGGGTGGATTTCCCAACAACCCCTTGGTCCAGCCGTTTCTGAGCTTCAGACGTAGGGCCAGGATCTGGACAAACACAAAGAGAGGGCGGGGCTAGTGCGACGGTCTGGATTTCGAAGGGGGGGGGGGGGGGGCCAGCACAGATTCAGGACGTCGGGGTGATGGTCTGCACTTCGCCGAATCGTAAGTTGAGGTCGTCGTCTTACTCGTGTGGTGCCCAAACTGCTGCTCACCCCCTTCGCGGCATGGCTGCTACTTGCGAAACCTCATGCCGAGATATCATGTCAAAGACCCCTTCCCCCATCCCCCGCCTGATCTCGCACACGATTGTCTTTTCTTGGCTGTAGTTTCAACACCCTTTCTTTTAATCCCACCGGGCCCCGCAATCTTGACATCGGGAGCAACCGATCGTCGTCCTTCTTTTAACCCGCGTCGCCACATTTTGTTTCGATGGATGCCGTTGCGTGAGGAGTCGACCGTTGATGTGATACACGATCATCCCCGCGGAAGAGGAGAAGAGGACGTCCCGTCATGGAACCGGACTGAGCCCAGTGATGAGCAGCTCCTCCAGTGGTCCGATCGGAGCGGCGCCGCCGCCTCCCGGGGAGACGCCCGACTTTGCGAACCCGCGAGACATCTTTCACACGCTGCATACCGTCTACATGGCCATCATCCAGGTCGTTGTCGTCGTGTTCTTTGCGATACGGGTGTATGTGAAGCTGTCAGCCCATGGAAGGTTTAGACTGGAGGACTGTAGGTGTGCCGGCCGACGCTGCTTGATGTTGGCTAACAGGGTCGCAGGGAGCTGTCTGCTTGGATGGGTGAGCTTGGAACGATTCACCGCTGCATACGCATAGCACTGACTCGATAGTTCTTTACTGTGTTGCTCAACGGTACCGTGTTCTTCAGTAAGTGAGGCAGCTACCTCGCGACACTTTTATGTGGCTGACCAAGACAGAGCTTCGGCATGGAGAAGGATATCATATTTGGGAGATCACCGAGGCCAACTTCCTTGAGCTGCAAAAGGTAAGACGGCTAGCAGAGAGAACATCGCCAGTGCTGACCTCACCAGTGGCTCTACATCAGCTCTCTCCTGTACACCCCGGCCGCCTTCTTCACCAAGGTGGCCATCCTGCTCTTGGTTGTGCGAGTCTTCTCCGTCGACCTGTTCGTCGCCCGGACACTGCACGCTCTGCTTGTCTTCTTCCTCATTTGCTACTTCCCGGCCCAGGTCGCCAAGACACTGGTCTGCATCCCCATCAACGCCTTCTGGGATCCGACAATACGGAATTTCAAGTGCATCAACCAGACAAAGCTGTTCATATACGACACCACGCTGGGCATCGTATCCGATCTCGCCATCCTGCTGATCCCCGTGATCCTGACGTGGACCCTTCGTGTTTCTCTGCTGAAAAAGGTCAAAATCATAGGGCTGTTGGGAGCTGGCGGCGTCGCGGTAGGCATCACCGCCTATCGGATGTACCTCGTGCTCAAGTTCGAAGACGCGACAGATCCATCCGTCGACTTTGTCCCGCTCGACTGGACCGTGTAAGTTAAGTCCGTCCACACAACAGGACGCATTGCTGACAACCAGCAGCACCGGAGAGCTCGCCATCGGGCTGATATGTGCGTGCTTTCCCTCCATCAACTACCTCCTCGAGCAACGGTCCCTCCGTAGGATATCGCCCAACACACCGCGGTCGACGTCGTCGTCGTGGAGGAACACTTCGAAAAAGTACATTGACACGTTTTCGTCTTGCTGCTCGAGGTTCACGGGCGGGAGCACGCGGAACAGGACGTGGCTGCGGAGCACCAACGCCACGAGCAGGGACAGGCTGGCCTCGACGCCGAACTGGACGCCGAACATGAGCCCGGAGACGGAGAGAAGCGAGCCGCGGCGGGAGGACTACGACATCGAGCTTGCGGTGTTCTCGCGGCGGCCGACGCACAACTTCGACTCGCCGGGCCCGTCGAGGGGTCCGGAGGGCGGCGATGAGGGCTGGTTGGGTCCGCTGCCGATGTTGAAGCCGTTGCCGGATGTTGGGCGGGAGTGCCCGAGTAGGTGACGAGGTGGATCTTGGTATTTACTTCTTTAAAGAATTTCGGACAATGGCATGCCGAGCTCACACTGAAGCATTCATCGCCATGGTCCAAGACGTAGACACCGATACGACCCCTGCAATCTGCGAGGTTCAATGAAGCTTTAGAGTAAGTCACCCTGGACAACATACGGCTGCCGTCATTGATGAGCTGACACCAAGCAGATGCAGTCAATGCTAATGGTCCGCCTCGCATTCGCCAATCTGGTATCTGTTGTGCTGGAATCAGTGGAAGGAAACCCTGTGTGAAGCACAGAAGCCGGGCCTTAATTTCCGTCCTTGTCATGCGGAGACGCAGCGCAAGGGCCGAATCCACGCGGTTCATGCGGCGACGGCAGAGGTCCTGTCCCTGTCGCGGACGGAGGCTGTGGCTGATTCGAGGAGGTGTCAGTGCCGTGCCCGCGTTGCAGCAACCTTAGCCTTGCAATTACGGCAACGGGTTCCGGTGCCGGTGGTGAGGTTTTGGGAGAATCGGGGGAAGGCCATGCTGTGGTTGTTAGCCAGCTAGACCGAGAGCTGTCATCTGTTTTAAAAAGATGATAACATTAACGAGGAGACGAAACACAGCAAGCCAATTGACTTGGTGAAGAAGCGATGAATAAGACACGTACAGAATCCAGGCGGGACGGGGCAACGATTGGGTCTCAGCAGCTAGCCCACTAAAAAGCACTGGACCCTTCCCTCCTCCAGAGGACACTACCAGAGGTCTTGAATGCCGGCGCCGTAAGCGGGTGGGAACATGTGATTGGCCCAGAAGCTCTCGCGGCGCCTGGAGGGAGCAGCCGAGACTAGGGCCACGCCTTGCGCGCTGGAAATCCCATGGAACAAGGCCGGGCCCGGGAGTTGTGGGCCACCTCACTTAGGGAGGTCACCTTTGGGCTGAAATGGTGGTCCAGCCACCACCCTCAGTGGATGCGGCCGGCGGACGGTGCTGTGGCTTTCAGCACTGGCATTGACTCTAACATGTACCTTTCAGCAGAGCTGAAGGACACCTGACACCACGTCAGCAAACCGCCTTCCATACGACGTCTTGGGAGGAGCCAAATATGATTATCGTATAAATAACTCTCCGTTTGGACCGTCCAGTGACCAGTCAGCTACACATGTATTCCCGAGTTGTGAGCGTGTGCAATGGGGCCAGATTGCCCTCAAGCATCTTGGACAGTGGTACTTGCATTGGCAGACAACAGACCACCCCCAAGCAGCAGCAAGTAGGTACCTTCCACTGCATCCCCAGTGACAAGGTACCTGGCAAGTGCTCGGGCAAAAAAAGAAAGAAAAAAACACACAGAGGTGAGGCGACCGGGGTGTGCCAGCAAGCAGCCAGCAATCCAATCCAGCCAGTGCCAGTGCCCATGGCGAACCCGCGAAGGCGACGGAAGTAGAAAAAAAATATTCACAAAATCCCACTTCGCCTCTCCTACCCTTCTCTTTTTCCCTTTCCCTTCTCCAGCCCACACAACAACACGCACCGTTGCACGCCAATCCCCCCCCAGGGTGCTTCTCTCCCCATTCCCCTTCTCCTCCCCTCGCGTTCTTCCCATTTTTCTTCATTGGGTTCTCGTCGCTCAATCCGTCAATCGGTCATCGCCCAGCCTAGCTGTCCAGTCGTCGAATCCCCGTCGTCTGCCTCCTCGCCCATCGCCCGTGTGTCTCTGCACATCTCGATCATCCCCGGACGAATCAAGATTGCTCCGTCAGCTCATTCGCTGCTCAGTCACACGCCATCTCGTCGACAAGCCTTCAAGACTTTTTCGACGCCAGCTTTGTCTATCAAATCCCGACGTTAGATCAGAAAACATCGCCCGTCTCGTTTCGTTCGCTCGCCGACGATTCCATCACAACAAGCTTCCTTGCACACGAGCATAGCTGGAACATCCATTGATATTCCGTGTCCCCTGTTCGACCTACAAGCAACTTTCACCAAGCTCCATCTGCCTTTGTCCGCCCATCCCGACGACATCGACATCGACATCGACGACGACGACCTCAGGTCTCACCCCCGATTGAAGAAGAATCAAATCCCACCCAAGAACGTCCAAATACTCCGACAGACATCTGCTCTAGATACACACTGTGACTTTGACTAGTTATGGCGTCCTCATCATTGCAGTTTGCCTACCGAACCCAGAAGGGCATCGGCCTGTTTGATGCTGCCCCGGCCTACCAGCCGCTCTCTGGATTCGTCAAGCCCGAAGGGAACCTCCGGTGTTGTGGATACTCGCCCTGCGGCCGCTACTTTGCCTGGGCCAGCCCCGAAGTTGTCACTGTTGTCGACGCCTCCACTGGCCAGCAGGTCCTCGCCCTTCCCATCCTCAACGTCTACGAGCTTGGCTTCTCTCCTCTCGGCACCTTCCTCATCACCTGGGAGCGACCCGCCAAGGACGAGAATGGAGACGCGACCAAGAACCTGAAGGTCTGGCGCACCGTCGAGGAAGGTGTTGCTGGTGCCGACAAACTGCCCCTGGGCAAGTACGTCCAGAAGTCTCAAGGAGGCTGGAACCTTCAGTACACGGCCGACGAGAAGTACTGTGCCCGTCTCGTCACCAACGAAGTCCAGTTCTACGAGAGTCACGATCTCGGCACCGTCTGGAACAAGCTGAGAGCCGAGGGCGTTGCCGACTTTGCTCTGGCGCCCGGCCGCTCATACGCCGTTGCAGTCTTCATTCCCGAGCGCAAGGTACGTTTACACGCCAAGTCATCATGCCAATGCAATCGCTAACTTTGTCCAGGGACAACCTGCTGCCGTCAAGGTTTTCAACGTTCCCCAGTTCAACGCCCCCATCTCCCAGAAGACCTTCTTCAAGGGCGACAAGGTCCAGCTGAAGTGGAACCAGCTGGGCACCGGCATCCTCGTGCTGGCCCAGACCGACGTCGACAAGTCCAACAAGAGCTACTACGGCGAGACCACGCTGTACCTGCTCAGCGTCAATGGCTCCTTTGACGCCCGTGTCAGCCTCGACAAGGAGGGCCCCATCCACGACGTTTCCTGGTCCCCGAACTCGAAGGAGTTCGGTGTCGTCTACGGATACATGCCCGCGAAGACCACCATCTTCAACCACCGAGCCGTCGCGACTCATTCGTTCCCCCTTGGGCCCCGCAACACCATTATCTTCTCGCCCACCGGTCGGTTCGCTTTGGTTGCTGGCTTCGGTAATCTGGCTGGCCAGATTGACATCTACGACCTCGAGAAGGATTTCCGCAAGCTCTACACCATCGAGGGCGGAAACCCCAGCGTGTGCACGTGGAGCCCGGACAGCCGTTACATCATGACGGCCACCACATCTCCCCGTCTCCGTGTCGACAACGGCGTCAAGCTCTGGCACGTCAGCGGTGCCCTCATGTACAACGAGGATATGGTCGAGTTGTACAACGTTCTCTGGAGACCCCAGGCGCTTGACAAGGTGGCCGGTGGCGACCCCATGAACCCCATCCCCGCCCCGCACGCGTCCGCGGCCACGTATCTCGGCTCTGTCAAGACGCCCAGCAAGCCCGCGGGAGCCTACCGCCCCCCTGGTGCTCGTGGCCTCGCTACCCCCCTCCACTTCAAGCGTGAGGACGAGGGAGGTGCCGCTCACGTCAGCATGAACAACGGTTCGGCGCCCATTGGACCTAACGGATTTGGCCGCCCCCGTCGTGGTGTGCCCGGCGCGGAGTTTTCTGTTCCCGGAGCGGCCCCCAAGATCCCGGGAGCTGAGACTGCCGAAGGCGATGAGAATTTGTCCAAGGCGGCGCTCAAGAACAAGAAGAAGCGCAACAACAAGAAGAAGGAGGGCGAGGCCAACCCCGAGGGTCAGAACGGCGGCGGAGCTTCCCTTGCCCCGCCCCCGCGCGACTTTGGAAGATCCGGCCACGAGGGTCGCAGCCCCGAGCGCCGTGGCGGCGGCGGCGGCGGTAACAACCACCGTCACCGCAGCCACTCTCGCAACCCGGGTGCGCCTCGTAACAGGAGCAACACCCACCGTGGCCAGAACGGTGCGCCCCAGGCGCCCAACAACGCCCAGCAGGCCGCGGCGGCCAATGACGCCGGCGCTGACGGCCAGAACCCCAACGCGAAGAAGATTCGCAGCTTGCAGAAGAAGGTGCGTGCCATCGAGGACCTCGAGATGAGACTGGCTGGAGGCGAGAAGCTTGAGGACACCCAGATGAAGAAGATTGGCACCAAGACCTCTGTGCTCAAGGAGCTGGAGGGTCTCGAGAAGGAGGGCCGCTAAATTTCAGAAGACGGCCTGAATGTTAGAAGAGGGGAAAATCTAGGAGGCATCATCTTGCTACCTGGATCCCACTAAATCGTTTTACAGGGTATGGATCATGCGTAGAGGATCAACAAATGCAATTGCATGGCGCGAACGCGCCCACACTTTAATTGGCTTAGTATGCGTGACGCTTGTCTTGATTTATGTGAAGGTGTTTGCTAGGGTCTTGGACAAAGTACGTGAGGCGCAGGTTTACTTGAATAAAGGGACATCCTTAAGGATGCAGACATGCGGCGATGACTTCAGACAACGACGTGAGAGAACTATATTGGAGGGTAGCAGTACACAGTACTGGTCAAATCGCAGTTTTACCACCTACAATGTGTCGTGTAATCACTGGGGAGATTACTTGAAAACCAACGATTGCCAGCAGCTCTGAGATACACTTTCAATAGGGAATTCAGGAGCTAAGGTAGGTTGCGGTTTACGTTGAAGGTAAGACGGTTGATCCCAACGCATTGAGAGTAAACGTGGGATATAGTCTGGAGAATCTGGGGCATGGGGTTTGACTAAGCTCTCAGCTGATGCGGTGAGGTCTTCTATGATCAAGAAGGCAAAATGGCTCAAAAGATGCTTGTTCAACCTCTGCTAGACTACAGAGCAGCTGCTACAAACTTCTCTCGATACTCCTATTCTTCCTGGATTTCTCTGAACTTCTCTGCAGCAGTACATCCCCTACGTCCTTCTCCCCGCACTAACATGCGGAATAGGTCATTGCAGGCTAAGACATGCAAGACCACATCCCCGCCTCGCCGCAATGCAAGGGCGGCAGAGAAGCGTATCGCCACGGATGTCATTGGCTAGTGTCCCTCGGGTTGACCGGGGATTGGGAGTGCATGGCATGAGGCGGCGAGGCCTTTCCCGAAGCTGTCTGGCGTGGTTTCCTATTTTGGAGGTGATTCTCGTTTTGGAGTCTTGTGAAAGCAGCCGGCAAAGTTGAAGATTCATTCAGGCAGTTATGGGACAGAATGGTGAGTGATGGAGTCAAGGGGAGGGAGAAGGAAGTTGCAAATACCTCTTCTATAATCGTGTGGTCTGGAAAGAGAGAGCGTAGGTAGAAGTAGCTTGAGAGGGTTTTCGGTATTGAGTAATCGTGGACAATGTATGTCCCGTCTGGCTGGTTGATCTACTGAGGCGGTCTTGTAGAAGACTTTGATATAAGTACCCTCTGCTTTTGCAAACACTTCTTAGTACTCGTGAGGATGATCCCATCCATAGGACACCTGAGATTAAGGGGGCATAGCAGGCACGAATGATGGGCTCAAGAAAATGTTGCTAGTGAAGTAATAGCATTAAGTAAGGATTACTTATAAAGTTGGCACTTTATAGACCACTTCGGATCTTTTACTGCAAAACCACTGGCTGGCTGGGTTTTATATCACCCTTAACATAAGCCACTTCAAAGTCGTCCAGCCAATGCCAAAGAGCCTTCAGCTGTCCAACCGCTCATGCACAATCCATCGTGCTATGCAATTCCAAGTGAAAGCTCAGTTTAGCCACGCCCTGCGGCTCTGGTGCCCTTACTCCACTCTTCGCAACACAGACCGATCAAGCTTGGATATCCTCGTTCAGCTTCTCAATCATCTTGCTCAGGCTCTTAATCTTCTTGCCCAGTTTCTTGATCTTTCGCTCCGTCTTTTGGCGTCCCGCAACGGCGGCCTCGTAAACGGCTTTGCTAACGAACTCGATCTCGTCGTCGGGCTTCGCAGGATCCTGTTTCTTGGTTGCCTCCACTGGCTTCGACGAGATCGCGCGTATGGGCAGGTTGGTGGTGGTCAGGGGGCAGGAGATGACGGGCGTAGTTCTCTCAAGAGTGCGAATCGGTCGGCCTCGTCGTCTTCCCATGGGTAAGATATCCTCATCTTCGTCCTCGCTGGTCTCGGGTTCCTGCTTGAGTGCCGCTCCAGGCTTGGAAGGCATAGCGCGAATAGGTAAGGCAGCGGAGGGCGGAGGGCAGGAGATAGGAGGCGGTGTTCTTTCGAGAGTGCGGACCGGACAGCCTCGTCGTCTGCCCATTGGGAGGGGGTCTTCGTCGTCGGTGTCGTCGAAATCGTCGAGATCGCCGAGGACTGGGCTGTTCCCACCGCTCTGAGGGGGCGTGATGAGAAAAGAGATGGCGCAACGTTGAGAGGGCGTGGAAGTCTGCCATACTGGTTTGGATTCGTGGGGGCTTTTAGGAGGAGCAGCCGCGATTGTCTTGAGCTTCTTCGGCTTGGGTTCTGCGGCGGCCTCTGCCTTCCGCTTGCTACCGCGGTTACTCATTGAAATTATGACTTCATCTTCGCCGGCAAGCTCGTCAGCAGACTCGTCAGCAGGCTCGTCTTCCGGCACATAGTCGTCGGGTCGAAGCTCGGGGAAGAGACGCGAGAGATCTTTGCGCCAGATTCGAAGGACCTTGCTCGCTTTGGCATGGCATTGTCTCCAGGCCCTGTTCTCCAAGAGAGGGTACTTCTTGCCTAGAAGTCTTTTCGTAACGACCTCTTTTCTCTCAACGACGCCATTCTTTTTCGTAGTGGCGCGCTTTTCCTTCTTGTCGACCATCAGCCTTTCCTTGATGCCATAGTAGTTGGGTTGCCACCAAATTGAACGAGCGGTTGGCATCAGGTAAGAAACGTAGAGCTCGGACAAGACGTCCTGATCGCACTCGCTGAGATGAATGAGAGACGTGGGAACTTCATGGCTCCACAAGTCGATCTCGTAGGTGAGGCCGAGGAACGCGAGAATCTCCTCCGCCGCTTCGTCCGCCAGTCTGAATTCAGACATTCTAACAGCCTGTTAGCTACCTCATATTTTTGGAAAGACCGATAGGGAGGACTTGCGTGTATGGCGCAGGGGTAACTTTCAGAAACGGTTCGCCATGTCTTTGGCCGACAGGAAAGTGTCGGGGAGGGCAGGGTGGAGGGCAGGGTGGAAGGTAGGGTGGAGGGCAGGGCGGAGGGTGAATGGGAGGGCGAAGGGGAGGGAGGGAAGTGCAATGGAAGGAAGGGGAGGGGAAGGAGGAAGAGCGCGAGAAGTTTGCGTAGCCATTTTTTGGTTCAGTGAAGAAATACTGCATTAAACGTTGATAGTATGGGAACTGTTGCCAGGAAGGAAGAGAAAAGATTGCCCGACCGAAGCGGCGATGCCTTGCTTAAAAAGGGAGCCATAGGAGAAACGAAGGGCAGGAAGGTGCCAAAAATTAAGGTTGTGCTGAAATGGCCAAAAGGAAGGAAGGGCAAAAATGGTTAACCATATCAACTCTAAAGCAAGTCCTAAGGACTGCTCCTTCCCCAAAGCCCAAGGTTCTCTAATAGAGGTGAGGTGAGGCTCCAAGGTTGAGCCCACTATCAATAACTGGGTGAACTGGGTCTTAAGCGACCCCACAAAAGGCGGTCTCCATGATTGTTTTCAAACCTTGCGAGTTTTCCTAAACAGTCATATGACTCTTCGTGAGTCTTTGAGCAGTTTGAGTTCGTTCGTTGTGGAAACTCTGACACCCTGATGGCCATATGTTCAATCTCACGATGTCTAACCACCACATACGACCATACCCATTGGAAAACTCGGGATCCCGTCCGCTCTCCCATAGATAAGCCAATGAGGGCTGGAGTAGTAGTCGGGTCGGTGACGACCGGCGAATGCCCGGTGTTGTATGTTTTTGATGTTTTGGTGTTTTGCCCAGAGGTTGTGCCTTGTTCGTAGGGCTTGCTTTTACATCGCGCGGATAGCAACATTGGTACAAATGGTGAGTAAGCTACATTATAGATCGTTCAGCATAGCCCTGAGGTTGCTTCTCCGTACTTCCAGTCTCAAGACACGAGTTGCCCGAGTCCTGAGAATTCCCGCCGTCTCCGTCGCGTCGTCCGGAATCCTTTGGTTCCCATTTATCTTCAACTCCCAGTCTGTCTAGCGTCAGACCTGCACTGCCAGGGTTGCGCATGCCGGCTTCCAGCTGTCGTTGGTAGGACACATGCCGAAGTCTCTCTGCTTCCTTTGGAGTGAGACGCAGCTATCGATTTTAGTATTTGCCTGGGTAGGGTCGTTCACGAAACTCACGTAGACTTCCACTCCAATTGCATGTATTGCGCCCGCCAACCATCCAGCCATACCGAAACTGGCGTGTAGAGATGCCGTGGCTGGTGCAGGAGTTGACCTGTCAAAGAAGTTCGCCTCGATCGGCACCTGCTGGTTCGGATTTTCCCCCGACGTGTAGGGGGTACACCCCTCAAAGAGGAAAGACGTTGCGACCGCGGTGTTATTCACATTCGCGGCTCCCAGCATGTGTTCGATCACTGCACAAGGAAGAGAGACGTAATATCCTCCTTGCTTGCTGATGATGAGCGCCGCAAGAAGGAGAATCGGTCTCATTGTGATGATAGCACCGGCCTGTCAAGGCTAGGTCAGCAAGGTTCAACGATGGCGAGGCGGTAACTTACATAAAACCAAGCTCTAAGCATCCAAGCGCGATGCTGTTCAATCTGCAATCTCTTGATTTGAATGATCGAGATGAAAAGTGAACCCAAGAAACCGAGACAGAGGAATCCAACGGAGGCTTGAACTTCTAAACCACCGCCAACAGCATGTCTTACAAGCATAAGTGCACCAATGGTGCCCGGGACAGACAATGTCAGGATAACATAGCCGTTGATTCGGTGAAAGATGATCCATCTGCGCCGGATGGCGGGGACGAACTGCCAACAGACGAGGAACGATGCAGGCAAGATACATGCGAGATGCATGATGATCCCGATCCGGTCTACGGTGAAGTTGCGGTAGTAATAACACTCGCCGGGTAATGCGCGCTCAGTTGTGCTGAAGCCCGGTCCGCAGAAGACCTTGTCAAAGTTGAGATACATCAAGCGGGCTAGGGTGAACCCCATGAGGGCGCCCGCAAAGTTGACGAAGAGGATGAAGTTATACCTCTTTCGGAAGCCCAGAATTTCGTGTATCCTGCCAAGTTTGGCGGCGAAGTTGTCGGGTTGGTTTGTTGCAGCCATTGTGAGTAGCTGCAATAAAAGGGCAACTCTTGATGCTGTGTGTATGTGCAGGCTCAGGGAAGAGGCAAGTTGATGGATAGAAGGAGGAGGCAGGAGACAACTGGTAGTCCAGAACAGAGCAACACCATCATTTATATACACAAGGTCTCACCTTACAAATGTCTTGTTGTAAACCATTCAATCGCAGCCTCGAAATATCATGTTGATTTCGCACATTCGCAAGCGATGCAACACATGAGACTTGGCTTGCATACAGCAGAGACATAGGAATACCGACGGCGCAAAATGGTCCTTTTTGGGCTTAGAGGCAATCGGGAGTTAGTCGTGATTGGTTCTTGTGTCTTAGTCGGGCGCATCTTGCCAGCAGATATGTCGTCTCCCCCGCATCTGCCCTGAATCTTGACAGCTACGCCGTAGGGCTGCATAAGTCTCATTCTTGATTGGCGCGCAGAATGAGCTCCTTCGAGCGGGTAGATAGATAAAGGTCTGCATACCTCCCGCTAGGTTGCGTCTTTCGTCAACATCTCTGGACTGGAAGTAGTTGATTTTGCGCCCCGACGTATGGCCAGGGTTCCATCTACGTTGCCAAGTCAGCACAATCTTCCCACAATGGTCGGCGTTGCAGGAAGATCCAAGGGTTGTCGGACATGTCGGCAGCGGAAGAAGGGTGTAAGTGAACACGCGGTGTTGCCTTTTCAAATCCGGAGACCTGACCTGTCCAAGTGTGATCTCCAACAGCCAATCTGCGGCAACTGCTCAAGGCTTAACATCACATGTGAATATGACCGACGACAGGTCTTCATCAACGTAACGGGGCCGGGGAAGGCTGGACGGACAACATTCAAGCCGTCTTGTACCGATGTAGTGCTCCCACATTCGCTGGCTCGCTCTGCGTATGAGGACAAATACATCAGCCTCCTGTGGGATGCCTGGTCCCCATGTGGAACTCCTTCCGCCGAAATATCTGCCAACTACCCTGTCTACAGCTGGGTCTCTTCGGCTAGGGACCTTTACCACGATGACGATGGGCTGCGTCGAACCTTGATTGCCATGTCCTTGAGCACTCTAGGACAAAAGGATGGCCAGGCATATTCCACTGCGAAGGGGTTCCAGACGTACGTTCAGGCTTTGAGTGAGGTGAATGTAAGCCTGCAACGTTCCAAAAGATGGAAGTCTGATGCCGTCATGGTTGCGTCGCAGGGACTTGGACTCTTTGAGGTGAAGTCGCCTGTGTACTCTTGACGTGTCCCATACTAATAGTGGCAAGCTTCTATACGGAACGCAGGAGCGCGTCCAGGCCGACGGATCTCAGGTGAAAAGCTGGCATAACCACAACTTGGGTGAGCTAGCTCTTATCCAACAAAGAGGCCCCAAGTCGTTTATTGAAGGCCACGCACACCATATCTTCTCGGGAGTAAGAATGCACCTCGTAAGTTTACATCCAGTGAGATTCAGCAAGCGGAAGTTGACTTTAATAGGCCATAGCTGGGTGCATGAGCAGAAAGAGAAGCTTCCTTAGCGACATGGCATGGAAGACAGTTCCGTGGGCCAAAATCCCAAAGACCCCAAAGGACGTCATGCTAGACATTCTCACCGACGTCCCAGCTTTACTCGAGGAAGTCGACATTTTGAAAAGCAACCCAAGCGGCTACAATTGTCAGCGCTTCATGAAGACATACCAGCGTCTGGACCGGGAGATTGTATGGTGGCTCGAAAATCTCAGCCCGCCCACCGACATCCTCCACGATTTACACGAGCGGAAATACAAAAACCCCACAGCCGACGAACTCGCCGTCGCCCACGTCATGACATGCTCCTGGACTGTCTGTATTTTAGTCTACAGCTCACTTCACGCAGTGCTGAGTAGCACCTTCAATTTACCAGGTATCGAGGTGATGGAGCTGGCAGAGCGGACAAACCCGCGGCCATACTGTCTCTTGATCGCTGACACCGTTGAGGTCTTCTTCCAACCCGAAGCTGGAACCTTTGGAATGCACGCAGCCCCGTTTCCCATCGGCATGGCCATCAAGTATCTAATGCTCACCGAAGGCTTCTCCTCCAAAGACTGCATGAGACTCATAGGATACTTCAGTAGGCAAAGTGGTGGTGCTGCTATGGGTAGTTTCTTGGCAAACACACTCTTTGTATGGAACTAGAGGGGCGCTCGTCAGTTCGTTTGAGTTCACAATACATTCGCTGCAAAGGATGGTGCCTGGCCAGGGCCTGCGATCTACTGGTCCATTAAAATTTAGGTTTAGGAACTTCGAGGTTGAGAACCCCTGGATATATCGTTGACCCAATGAGCGTGTGTGTGAGGACTCGGTTGGGTTGCGTTCTTCGGGAGTCCTTACCTCTCAACCTCTTTGGCCATACCCTACCTTTCTCCGATGACTCTCGTTCAAGAACCGCTACGGTCGATTACTGATCGCGGCATCCGCTGGGAAACAATATAAGGCCAGCCGCCGGCCCCTCTGCAGTTTCTCAATTCTCCTCCTCATTCTCCTCCTCATTCTCATCCTCATACTGGTCCTCGTTCTCGTCCTCCTCCTCTTCTTCGTCCTTACTGACATCTTCACAGGAAAGTCCCGCCCGATACGGCGGAGGGGCGGGCTCTCTCGGCTCGACGGCCCCTCGCATTGGGGGGTCTACAACTTGACAACAGGTCCCTCGCATAGGGGGGTCTACAACTTGACGACAGGTCCCTCGCATAGGGGGGTCTACAACTTGACGACAGGTCCCTCGCATAGGGGGGTCTACAACTTGACGACAGGTCCCTCGCATAGGGGGGTCTACAACTTGACGACAGGTCCCTCGTATAGGGGGTTCTACAACCTTTTTAATCTTTGGAACTTTCTAGTGTCCCTGGTATTACACTGCCTCCAGGTTGATGCACCCTTTTCTTGTTTTCATTGCTGTCTCTGGCTTGTTCAGGGTTGTGAAGAAGACTACTCTCTCTTCGTGGTGCATGCCATTTCTGATGATGAGCATTATTGACCTTGCCTTGGATAAATACCATCCTCATGTTCGACTAGACGTTGACGTAACACACAACACATGACATGCAATCGGGCAACTTCATTCAACTCGTGTCAATTCACTACTGCGACTCTCCAACATCACGCAAATAAGCCACCCCCTCCTCTATCAGCTTTACCTCCCCTGACATCACGTCAACCTTAGATAAAGAGAAGGCATGTCCACGTTCCGCATGCCATGAAACAGAATTTTTAAAATCGCGTCGAGACCAAACCAAGAAACACGATATCGATGCCACCCAGCGGGGTTGCCGTTCCAATCCGTCAGTCAATCCCCATCCGAAATCCATGTCTTTCTTACGCGAAAAAAAGTTTTCCCTTCCCTGGACTCATACTGAGGGCGGGTGTTTTGATTTCGTGCACTATAATAGCCAAGAGTGTAGTACCTAGGAAACGTGTACCATCCCCGGTCCATGGCATGGTTTCTCCGCGCCGCGGCACACCAAGCAAGGACTATCGGCTAGGGCCACGGAATGAAGGACGAGACTGAAAGAAACAGAAATTCAAATTTGCCGCGTCTCAAAACATGACGATCCGCCCGATAAAAATGTGGCCACTCTTTGGCCTTCTGTGACAGCACAGAGTCCCTGAAAAAAAGGCCAGTCGTTGGCTTTTGGGTATCCCAATATTCTTAGCAATAGCATGCCATGTAGTTTGGTCTGCATTACGTCTCCCTTCCCATACGACCGAATGATGATCCGAACCCAACGCCGAGGGATGAAAAAGGGGGAAACGTATATTGAAAATGTATGATAACAGACGGCCCAGGCGTGGAGTACAGTGATGAGACCATGTGCCTGGGGTGGTAGGTAGTAAAGTAGAAGCCGTGGGGTTACGTTCTAGAAGCGGCAAGACAGTATCACACCGTTCAGGTCGTATTTGCGGGGGGTATATATACGGAGAAGTGCGGACATGATCAATATCACCTCTCAATGCTTTCGGGGCTCATCATGCCCATGCCCTCATCCTTGTCGGTCTGACTGGCATTGCCCTGGCTCTGCACGCTCTCGTTCCGCTCCATGCTAGGGGGAAGGGCGATTGCAGCCGGGTTGGGGCCTGTACCGTTGATGTTGGCATTTTTGACCTTCTTCGCCGGCGTGGTGTTGCCGCCCTTCTCGGGAGAAGCGTTGACGGCACCTTGCTCTTTCTGAGCCTGTGCCGCCAACTCCATCTTCTTCTTCTTCTTGGCGAGGGCGATCTGTTCTTTGGGAGGTCGCTTCTGCGGAGAGACAATCTTTCCGGATGCACCAAGACGCGGGCGAGGCCTCCTCTGTTTGACAGGCAGCTCCTCGTCTTCGACGAGGGGAGCGTCGCTATTGGCATGCAACTTGGCGAGGAAGAAGTTCTTGATCAAGCCAATCTGTCCGTGGATGTTCTCCGTAGTGACGGGGTCCACAGGCGGCAGCGAGTCGAACAAGTCTGTGACCTCGGTGCCGGTGGTCTGTGTCTGCATCTGGTACTGGTTGCGTACGCGAGACTGGAGCAAGTGAAGAGGAACCGAGAGCATATCAAGACCCATCTCCTTGTCCAGACCGAGCGCCTTGAATCCGAAGAAATCTTCACCAAGGTCCTCTGCGAAGTCGCCACTAACGAACTGCTCGCTGCCGTCCTTGAAGGCTCCGACTCCGTCCTGGCCAGCTTCTTGGGTAAGGGCAGGACGCAGCAGCTCGGTCAGATGCAGCTTCATGCGCTCGTGAATACCGCCAAGCTTCGTGCTCAGCCTGTCGATATCGTCCTTCGCATAAGACTCGAGGTTGACCAAATCGCAGCCGTTCTCGTCCAGTGTATGCAAAATGACCTCCTCAGGAGTGAAGCGGTTCTGGAATCGAGGTCCGTGTTCAGAACGAACTGCTTCCTTCTTCTCAGCTTCCCGATAGACATTGAACGTGTGGATGAGCTTCTCGAAATAGTCGGACGCGATGCTGGTCAGAGTGTCGATGGCAGAAGGCTGGAGCTCTTCGAAACCGGTGTGGTAGAGGATCTTGGCCACGGACCGCTGCAGGGCATTGTGGCAGGTCTCCGGGGCAATGACGGGCCCGTCGTCGGCGATGAAAGAGGGCTCGGCGTCCTGCTCGACAAAAGCCTCGTAGTTGGACTTGGGAAACTGGTTGTTGTAAACCTGGAAAAGTTAGATTCGTTCTCTTAGCTGCGTCGTCGGACAAACCTGAGTCTGAATCTGCATCTGCTTAATCACGCCGATCTTGCTCGATAGTTTCCTCGTCTCTTGGATTTGACGAATGTTGGTGTCGATCTTGCTGGTCAACTTGCTCTTGGGCGCAACAAAGTGGCCTTCAGGGATCAGCCGAAGATATTCCTCGTGCTGGTTGATGACGTGACCCTCGCCGTCCTCGATCCATTGCAGTTTGGGCTGGATGTCGGGGATGACCGTCAGAGGCTCGTAGTACGCGGGAACGACCTTCTCCTCTTCGCCTTCCATGCCCTCCGCAAGAGTCTCGGCAGGCTTTGCTGCTTCCTTGGCGGCGATGGCTGAAGAGTCGGCAGAGTGGCTGATGACGCCCAAGGACTCGGCCTCTTTCTGGTTCCTCAAGTACCAGCGAATGCCTGCCTTGTTTCGGAGGAGTGCAGGTGCGTCGACATTGAGCCTGTTGTCCTTGAAGAGCTGGTACCGCTCCTTGGCGATGAGCGCACGATCCTTCTTTGTAACTTGCTTCCAGATCTTGTACTCGTCGTCCTCGTAAGCCTGTTCTGCTGCCTCGTTGAGCGCCTGCCCTAAAGCCATGCCGTTCAGGGTCGGTCCGTCAATGTCCATGGCGTCGGCGTTGCTTCCGATGCCGGAGTGCCCGTTGATGCCGCCAGGGGTGGCTGACCCGCCAATTGGTGTACCGAAGCCATTGCTACCGTCGACGGCCTCGGAGCCTTCCCGTCCCTTGGCAAGCAGACCGTTGAGTTGGAGCAGCGGCTTCTGATCGACACTCGGTGTGCCCTCTTTCTGGTCGGCTGGCTGTTTCCTGGACTTGCCGCCCTTGGTGCCTGCTGTACGCCCACGAGATGACATGATCGGCTCGTCGTCTGAGTCATCACCGCCGTCTTCTTCGCCGCCATTCTGCTTCCGTCGCTCTTCGGCCTCGACCTCGGCTCGTGGCCTAATAACAAGGTCTGGGATGAGGGGGATAAGCTTCTCTGCCTCCTTCCTCATTCCATTGGCCATGCGGCGGAGAGGGTGTCCCATATCTTGGTTGTATTTCAGGCAGTTGTCCCATATCAGGTTAAGGTCGGTGACGAAATCCGCCTTGGATTTGTACGTGAGAGACTTGAGCTTCTTGGTCATGGTTCCCAGGTCCATCGGTTGCTTGATCACTGCGGGGGTCATTAGCCAATCCTGGTGAAATCCGTCTGCCTAGAGACTTACGTATGTAGTAATCAGGCGCATCCCTCTTGTTCACCCTTTGCAAAAAGGGCGTCGAGTATTCCGTATGTGCCTTCAATTCTGTCAAGACCTTCTCGACGGCTTCGTACAACTCTTCTTGGTTGACGTTCTCTTCGCTCGCCCATTTACTTCGGTTCTTTCGTACTTCGTTCATCAATGATCGCAGTTCCGCGTCTGATGCGCGAACTTGGTCGCGTTTCAAGTCTATCCTCGCAATCAGATGCTTGAGGGTCAGACTTGACGCGCCGAGGTTGGCGCTGCTGAGCGAGCCGTGGTTCTCGGCTTGGGCGCCGTTGGTAGTGGTATGGTTATTGTTGTTTTCCATCTCTGCCTGCAACTGCTTTTCTGATTCTTCCAGCTGCTGCTGCTCGAGCATGGCGGTGCGGTCGTTTTCGAGGGTATAGAATACTGTATGGAAGCTGCGTCTGGCGGCCTCCTCGGTCGCGTTGCGCGCCTCTTGTAACTGTTTGCGCGCATCCTCGCTCGTCTTTGCGAGGTCCTGGGACCCGTCGGCTTGTTTGAGTTTATCGAGTTGCTTGCCGGGTGAGCTCACGGAGTGCACGGGCGAACTGCCGGACTTGGAGGGGGAGAGGAGGGAGCCGGCGCCGGCAGCCGCGGTGCCGTTCTTCGACTTGTGCGCGTCGGCATCCGTCGCGTCTTCATCGTCTTCGTCGTCGTCATCGCCATAGTCGTCTTCGTCGATGACCCGCTTGGCCTTCTTTAATGGAGGCTCCTGGATCGGCGCATGGTCGGTGGTAGGGGGTAAGATGGAGGGGGAGGGGGCGGAGGGGCGGCGAAGGGCATCGATGGCGGGATAGTTGTATGAACCGTCATCAGCGAATAGCAGCGAGATCTTTGACTCGCTCTTGTGATAGAGATCCTTGAACAAGGCGCGGCGTCGCTCATCTTCAATATCAGGTTGTGCCTCAGGCATCAAAGCCATGGAGTTGTCGACGGGGGTTCCAGTCCGCTGGGAACCATCATCAAGTTGATGGAACAAGCGACTGGAGGATTGGTGATGGAGAGAGGGCGGTTGCCATGCGTGCTGGCCGTTGGGGAGGGACATCTTGAGCCCTTGTTGATGATAGCGACAAGCGGGCCGAGTGTCGCCATGCGCAACAAAATGCGCTCGTCAGGGACCGAGTCCGGGCGGCAAAGGGGTGTTACGATCGCATCAGTGAAAAGAGCGACATCGATAGAGATGACCGACGGAATCTGAGGACGTGATGGGTTGCGGTTGTGATGTTCTGATGGATTGTAATAAGGGGGTTTTGGCGTTGTTCCAAGAGGTGAGGTTGAGGATTTGGAGAGGCTCGTACCAAGTGTACGCGATGGAACTTTTCCCTTGCCTGAACACGGCGAGCCGGCCGCTGGGTGCGGTACAGAGGACTTTGGACGGCCACTTGCGGGCAAGCAACGGCTGCCACCCGCGCTGTCGCATCAATCCCAAAATTACAGAGAGGCTTCTTTTACTGCTAATCACCACTTTCATCTATTTTTCGGACCCAGAAAAGACGTGCACTGGGGTCATGTTGAGTGTCGCGGTCGCCAACTGCAGGTACAGGAACCTCGAGTGCCGACGACGGCGCGAGGCGACCAGGCCACCGCACTCCCCTTCCCCCTTGGATCCCCAGCGATCGGATCGCGTATGATGTCGTCACGTGACGGATGACCAACCCGTCGCTGTGCGCAATGAGCCCAGCAAGTGAACAGCAGAGTTTGGCTTGCGGCAGGCTCTGTAATGCTGCGCCGGGCTGGTGATGCGTGCTGACTGCACAGGTCAGTCCGGTGCGCTTCGGCGACCACTTTGATAATCCACCACCGCTGTTGCGACACCCTCATCCCGCTGCACCTTGACATTTAACCATCCGCCATATCAAAAGAGGCCACCACGCGTCCTCCCAGACGAGACATCGCGACTCGCGCTTCTCTCCATGCCCTCCACGGCCCACGGGATAACCCGCCCGGGCCACCTAGTACCGACCCCAAAAAAAAAACCTCGGGGGCATACCCCTGTCCTCGTCCCTCGCAGCCTGGGGCGTCCAGCAGGTCCCGCCCGCCACCAGCTTGTGGTGCGGTGCACATCTTCTTTCGTCAGTGGGCTGAGTTCTGCCCGATGCCAGTGGATGGAGGTGGTGCTTGTTCCCGCAGCAATCCAATCCAATCCAATACCTGGCAGCCCAGCAAAAGCTCTCTCCCTCCCGATCCAGTCGTCTGGAAGCTCCGGCCAGCTGGACACACCTCACACCCTCGTCTGTGACGAACCCCATTACGAATACCCTTTCCTCATTACTTACCTGCACTGTCTTGCCGTGCTCTCTCTCTCGCCTTGAGCAACCACTTCGACCATCCCGTCCCATCATGACACCTAGTAGCTAAGCTACTGCTACCCTTACCGAGTCAACCCACGCACAACGCTCACTTCGACCACGAACCGAGCTACATACACTGCATCCCATCCAATCAAACCACACCCTGCAAGAGCCGCAGGACCCTTCGAAATGCGGATACGCTTGCCCTTTGCAGGTGCGTCAAAAGCTTCAGCTGGCCCTGGATCTAGCCCTCCATCTGGGTGGGATCCATCCGTCTCGCAGATCCGAATCGAGCTCCCCATGTCTGCCAGGGATATTCTTAGCTAACACTGGTCTGCTGCAGGCGTCTTCTTCGCCCTCCTCCTCGTCGCTGGCTACGCAGGCCTTACCTCCCTCCAGCTGGGCCAATATGTAAACGACAAGGTCCTGCACTTTGCAACATTCTTCCTCCTGACGCTCGTCTTCTACTGGATCCTCGATACCAACCGCCGCCGTACTCTCAACCTCACCTTGACCGTCTGCACGTTCGTCCTCGGAGTCGGCTCCGAGTTCCTGCAGGGCTTCCTCCCCAACGGCCGCGAGTTCGACTTTTACGATATTGTTGCCAACGTTGTGGGCTCCCTGGCGAGCATAGGGCTATGCTCATGGTATCACAAGCGTATGCTCGAACGTAAACGCCGCACCAAGACGTACGCACCTGTCCCGGGAGAGGATGACGAGGACGTCGAGCTCGGCGAGGGCCACGAGACGGGCGTCATCGAGTCGAGTGGTGCGAGGGACGGCGGCGACGTAGGTGGCAGCAGCGGACGGACGCTTGAACAAGAGGTGGACAATTGGGACGAGAATCAGGTGGACGATTGGGACGAAGACGATGCCGACGGTGACATTGGCGGAGTCAAGGGCAAGGACATTGACTCTGGAGACATTGGCGAGTCCAAGAAGCGGGCTGAATAGTGCATACTCCACGAGAACAGGGAGACTGATGTATGATGGATGACCACGGAGTTACGATCTGGCGTTCGGAAGGCTTCATCCTAGTAGCGTGTTTCGTCATAGAGAAAAATTGCCAAGGTTTCTGATGGTGCTTCTTGAAATATGTGCCTTGACTTTAATGTTGATTGTACAATTCGAAAAGTGTAAACAAGTGTTACTTTTATATCTAAGCAGTCCAAATTATGTATACGCCAGCCCCGGAGTTCCAATGTATATGTGAAACTGTCCAAATCTTCAGCCCGCAGAAAAAGCACAAACATGCAGGTCACCATCCAAAGGCCTCATTGTGCCACACCACTTCGCGGCCCCTCATGACCCATGCTCCGACATATTCCCGCATCTCCCTGCCCATCTCCGTGGGCCCGCACACGAGCACGGCCACCCTCTCCTCCGCACCTTGCCTGAAGAAGTCGTCGACAATATTCCTCAGGTTGGGGCGCTTGCGGTTGTGGTCCGCTGTAAAGAGATTTCGCGTGCGGTCACGGTACATGGGGTTCATCTCCATCTCGCCGTCTGCGTTGGTCTCGGCGGGTACACCAGCCATGGGGCCCGTGGTAGCGGAGTTGAGGGAGTCGCCCGTCAAGAAAATCTGGACGTTGCTATCCTCAAGCAAGCTCTTGGGCGACTTGTCGGTGGTCATGGCCCAAGTTGCGTCACCGGCTCCCCGGACGGCCCAGACCATCTCGACCTTGGCACTCGGGTTATCCTGGAGGATGGCCTGGTAAATGGGCACGGTAAAGGTGGCTCCCACGCCGCCAGCCACCAACAAAACACGATCGACGGTCGAGCCGATGAGTTTGTCGAAATGGATAGATGCCGCGCCATAGGGGCCCTCAATGCAGAGCGGGATCTTCCCGTCGCTGCCGCCTCCCGCGTTTGCAAAGTAGCCAAGGTGCTGGGTCAACGGGCCGTTAAGTTGGCGAGCAACGAGGGTCAAGTCACCGGTCTCCTCGTCAACAGAAGCCACGGTAAAGGGGTTGAAGAGGAACTCGTAAAGCAGAGCTTCCGAAGACGAGTGACCGCCACCAGGTCTCGCGGCGGCGGGGATGCTGAGATAGATGTGGGACCCCGGCCGACTGCGGAAAGCGTTGACCTTGAACTGAGGGATTGAAGCTGAGATCTTGATCAGGTTGGTCCCAGGGATGGTCTCTAGCTTGGAAAAGGCCATGACGGTGCGCAGACGGCGTACAACGAGGTCAATGAGGAACACGATGATGGCTTTGGCCATGAACAGCCGAGAGGACTTGGCGTGGAAGAAAACCAATGGCGGGATAGCAAATGCCCCAATTAAATGAGTGATGAAGAAGATTCGGTAGGAGTACTTGCGAATAGCGACAGTGGCGGTCGAAGTCATCATGTTCATGGCTGCAAAGGCGACGACACCGGCAAAGACGACGGGGGCGAACAGACGGCTTGTCACGATACCCTTGGCGACAAAGAAGTTGAGGTAAAAGAGAGCGTGGAGGACGAGAAGTGACAATGTCACTCGAGACAATACTCGATGCCATTTGTTCAGCTCCTCGTGGGAAGTGCGAAAGACTTTGGCGATGGGACTGAAGCTCTTCAAGGCCAGCAGATACTGGAATGGAATCTGTGACACGGCAACGATACCGAAGCGTTTCGTGATGTGGAGATAGTCTGTGAGGCGTCAGTACGTCCAATTGTTATGGCAAATTGACCAAATCATCATCAACCAACTTCTCCAAACCAAGTGAGTCTCTCATTGACGAATGAAAAGGATTGCCACTTACCCTCACCAGTCTCCAAGGTAGACAGAACAAGCAGCCAAGCGAACCAAGCCACACCAAAGACCCATTGGTCCTTCTGACCCCAATGCTGTCCCATAAAGTAGACATCATCGTTCAGCCACCACTTCACTTTCCTCACATTCGCATCCAGATTGCCAACCCAGCTTTGCCTCCTGGCTTTCAGGTCTGGAGAGTCCGGAACTGCATCGTAGGCGGCGCTCGCTTGTACCCGCTGTTTGAGATAGACGAACAAACGAAGGAGAAGAGCCAGGATGATGGGCGTCAAAGCCGAGAACTGGGCATACGTGCCGTACCGGTCCAAGGTCTGCCGTCTCAACTGGACCTCCTCGCGGGATAGGTCGAGAAATTTGTACGGCCAACCCATGGTCGATCTCGGCGGATCTCACGGACGACGATGGGGAAGATGGATAAAAAGATCAAGCCGGGATTGCTGCTCAGAACCGCATGGGTGACATGGAGATTGGTCTTTAAAAGAATGGAGGTTATCCGCAAGCTCGGACCGAAGCGGATTGTTAATCAAAGGATTGGAGTTGCGAAGGTTCACATTCCACGTATCCACGGCGCGGGGGTACGAGGATCATACACAGGTACGAACGCCGGTTCCTTCCAGCTGGCTTCTTTTGCTCAGGTCCCAGCGGCACAAGCTTCCCGGAGGCGCGCCCTTCAGCGCTCGCGTCAACCAGCCGTGATTGCCTGCTTGAAAACAGGGATCTCTGATTGGTCCATGAGATCGAGACTAGCGGCCTGACCCCTGAGCTATCCCCCCATCGACCCCGTTTCGTAGTGGAGGCTGCCCCAAGCATCCCGCGAGAACCCTGCGTTGGAGTCGAGATGGAGGGACCCTCCTCTGGGCACCGACCGTCATTCTTCCACTTTATTTCTTCTCTGCAGACGACAATGTCTTGATGCTGCATGTGCCGCCTGCCAATTTGATTGAGATTTGCGTCGCGACTCACCTGTGTGGTCTCGTGGTCTCATATTCCCTATCTTCTCTCGTCCGTTTCCCCGATTTAAGCCTCCTTACAGAGCCCAGCCTTCGTAATTAACGACTACGACTGCATCTCGAAAGACTCATCGACGATCAAAATGGAAACACGAGCATCGTTTCTTGTGCGACGATGTCACGGGTCACTCTCGGGCGATAAGGCAAACGACACAGTCAACCACTGCGACAGCGTCACCCAACGTGATTGGCGTTTGTCGCCCTGGTCCACTAACTGCGGCCTGGTCATGCAGCACCATGGGGCGGACTTGCCGTCCCCTCACTAAAGCCTGATCTTCAAGATGATTTACATATCGTTGTTCTCGTCTTGTCGTTTCCCGGGTTCAACACTTTCAAGTCATCTTCCTCGTCCTGAAATTCGTTACCATGGATAATAAGACCTGCGCAAATTGCCATGAGCTCAAGTTCTCCTGCTGGAAAAAAGGTACGCATCCATCGATCTCTGATCGTGTCAAGCTAACCAAACTAACAGGAACCGGGGAAAACTGGACAGAATTCAGATGTGAATCATCACAGGAAGGCCAAATACTGCCAACGGCTGACTTTGATGTTTGCATCATGTGCGTGCGGTGATCATCCACGATTCTCTCTGCTAACGCTCATCCAGTGAGGCCCAAGCCCTTAAAATTCGCCAATGTCAAAACTGCCGCAAGCAGTTTTCTTCCGTATTTGAGATACCAGATCTATGGTGGAAAGGGTATTGCAAAGGTGCCAACGCCTACTTTGGCCACGAGGTGACGGTTGACGATGAGGGCGAGGAGACCGGGTTGAGTACGTTGCCAGGCCGCCACCGTTTGAAGAAGCTAATATATATCAGATACATGGGCACGATTTCCCATCAAATTGACAAACAAATACCATCCAGGGTACGAATGGTTCAAGCTGAATATCTTCACGCGATGGATCGCAAAAACACAACAAACAATTCTCATCGTTTTCGACCTTCATCCGCCCACGGCAAGCTGCGTTGAGCGAGTGCCGGTTGGCGAGCCGGATCCTTTATTCGTGATCCCAGATGAACACAGCTACATAACTCCATACTGGGTATATACTCGCATCTTGGAGAAAGTCGTCACTCTGCAAGATGCCGCCGTCTGGTCGGTGCGCGATACCGTGAGGAACACAGAAAAGGAGAGGGACGGCCCGGCAAAGCCAAAACCGGCCCCCGACTACCGGCATTTGCACGAGACTGCCCGGCATGCCATTCATGTTTCCGAGACATTAGAATTAGCTGTGAAGGCTGCCAGGCAGATTCTGGTGCAACACGGGACCATTAAGGCAGACTGGAGCGGGGCGCAGCCTGATGCTGCCTGGAAGAGGGCCTGGAACCACGCCAACAGTCGCCTGCTATTCTTCGAGGATATGCTGGGCAGCCTGCAAGAGAGGTCCGCCTCGAACAAGGCACGTCTTCTCAACGAGATTGCGCTTGCATTCAATATGGTCGCTCAATTCGATTCTGGAGTCTCGGTCGATATCGGCCGCGCGGCACAACGAGACAGCGAGGCGATGAAGACGGTCGCCTTTCTTACCCTACTTTTCCTTCCAGCCACTTTCGTCTCTGCCGTCTTCAGCACTACTTTCTTCGAGTTTGACTCTGGCTCAGGCGAGTGGCTCATGTCTGACAAATTTTGGGTGTACTGGGTTGTCGCCATTCCAGTAACCGTTGTAACGGCGTTGATGTGGTACCACTGGCAGAAGATATTCCCACCGACGTTATTTGGCGACATGCGTTTTCAGAAGAATCAGCCAGGAGATGATGGAGGAAAAAGGCCCAGAATGCGAACGCTGAGTCTACACAAATCATTATCTATTGGGCAAGAAAGAGGAAAATCCGTAGTATAGATACGTGCTGCGCCGCAAACCCTGCATACCCGAGACAGTTCAGCTCCAATCACAGTATACATGGCAGACACTTCGATGCAAGACAGCGCAGTAAGCGCTCCATTGGTCACGTTAGTGGAGAAGTGTGCAGCAGGCGCAAATCGAGCGTACATACCCGAGGCCTTACTGCGGCGTTCTCGCAAAATCACCGCCTCATCTTGGTTGTCGTCTGTCTGAGCTACCACTGCCACCTAGCCCGTCTACAGTTGAAAACTGCCTGAACAACAGCTTTACAACGTCACCGTTCCTTCCAGTACCTATCGTTGCACTGGACATCGCGTCACAGATATCGTATTGAGCATGTCTATCGTCGACAGTCCGTCGAGGAGACAAGGCTACATCAGGCTCCTTCGGCTTGCGGCCGGCCTTTCGAAAGATGGCGGCATGCAATAGCCATAACGATGTCAACAAACTCGGTTCCCGTCTTGCCAACGCGGCATCCTCCCATCAAGGGCGGCGAACGTGGGAGGTCGCCATGACGTATGATGAGACAGCTTCTACGTCAAACAAGAGAGCTAGATTGAACGACACCGATCATGGACCTATGCTTTTCTCAGCGCGTGTCCTGAGAACGCTGTCGCATGATGCGTATACTGTCGGCTGGGTCGCGGCTCTCCCAATTGAGATGGCCGCTGCGCAAGCTATGCTTGACGATATTCATCAGCCTCTACCGATGAACCCGAATGACAGCAACGTTTATGCCTTTGGGAACATTGGAAATCATAACATTGTTATTGCATGCTTACCATCAGGGCAATACGGTATCACCAGTGCAGCATTGGTGGCTAACAACATGCGTTGGAGCTTTCCCTCTATCAAGATTCGACTCATGGTCGGCATCGGTGGCGGTGTACCTGACAAAGTTGACATCCGACTCGGCGATGTGGTGGTAAGCAATCCAACTGCGGCATCTCCTGGAGTCATTCAGTACGACTTTGGGAAAACTGTTCAGGCAGGTCGTTTCCAACTCTCAGGGGCACTAAACAAGCCTCCACAAGACCTTCTTGCCGCAGTCGCCAAGCTGCGAGCCGACCATCAACTGCGTCCTAGTCGAATATCAGACTATCTCGCAGGGATGAGAGAGCGGAACCCATCGATGGACGCGTACACATATCGCGGAGCTGGACAAGATCGACTGTATGAAGCCACTTACGAGCATGTTGGGGACAGCTGTGACGACTGCGATTTGTCGCAGCTAGTGAGAAGACGCCCGAGATCAAATAACTCCCCATGGATTCACTACGGCATCGTTGCATCCGCGAATCAGGTTATGAAACATGGGCAGACGCGGCATCATCTTGCGCATGAGCTCGATGTTCTCTGTTTCGAAATGGAGGCCGCCGGCCTGATGGACAGCTTTCCGTGTCTGGTCGTCAGGGGAATCTGCGATTACTCAGACTCACACAAGGCTAAGCAATGGCAAGAGTACGCCGCGGCGACTGCAGCAGCCTACACGAAGGAGCTCCTTTCTGTCATTTTGCCGGGACAAGTCCACCAAAATCCAATAACTGACGTCGATATGCAACCCTCCCGTCAGTGCTTATTCACCTCCATCATTTCAGTCTAGACCCTAACTTCCATGTAGGCGAGCTTGTGTCGTCAGATCATCGAACTCGTTTACTTGACTCCCTAACATTTGAGGAAATTGATAGCCGGCATTCAACCATCAAGACCGCACACAGCAAAACATGTCAATGGCTACTGAACCATCCGGACTACATTCGTTGGTTGAGCGCCAACGAGTTCAACGATCACCATGGCATTCTCTGGATTCGAGGAAAACCCGGCGCAGGCAAATCGACCATTATGAAATACGCCCTTTCTCGGGCCGGGAGAAAGACAGCAAACAATGCAGCAGTCATATCCTTCTTCTTCAACGCCAGGGGAGGTCCCCTTGAAAAGTCGACCGAAGGAATGCACAGGTCTCTTTTACTTCAGCTGCTCGGAAAGATACCTGAGCTACAGGAGGTACTAGATATTGCAAACCTCAGAGTTTCATGTCTTAGCAGCTCGCGCACTTGGAAACTTTCTGAACTCAGAGACCTTTTTTCGAGGGCAGTTGCGAAACTTGGCCGAAGACAAGTAACCTGCTTCATTGATGCTCTCGACGAGTGCGATGAGATTGAAATCAGGCAGATGCTGGACTTTTTTGAAGATTTGGGACAGAACGCAATTCAAAACAACACCAGATTCTGTGTCTGCTTCTCCAGTCGGCATTACCCCTACATAGACGTCCAGTACGGTATACGGTTAACTTTAGAGGATCAACAAGGACACGAAGCTGATCTCGAAAGATACATACGAAGCAAATTGAAAACTGTCGCACGGAAGCAGGCTGATGAGCTTACTCAGGAGATTCTTCGGAAAGCTTCTGGGGTTTTCATGTGGGTTGTTCTCGTTATTGACATCCTCAATAGAGAGTTTCAACGAGGTCGTATGTTTGCAGTAAAGAGCAGATTGCAGGAAATACCCCCAAGGTTAAGCGATCTGTTCAGGGATATCCTGACTAGGGATAACGAAAACATGGATGATTTACTACTCTCTATTCAATGGATACTCTTTTCCAAGAGGCCCCTACGACTCGAGGAGTACTACTTCGCGTTAGTGGCTGGCTTAGAGCCGGACAGTCTCACTGAATGGGACCCTGACCAGATCACGAAACAATCCATGAACCATTTTATGGTCAGTTCCTCCAAGGGGTTGGCCGAAATGACGAAATCCAGCAATGCAACTGTTCAATTCATCCACGAATCGGTACGAGATTTCCTTCTCAAAGACGACGGGCTTGCTTCACTTTGGCCTGAGCTCGGAGACAACCCCAAGGGAAGAAGCCATGATTGTCTCAAAACTTATTGCCATCGCTACACAAAGATCGACATTTCTGCATACGTGCAACCCGAACAAGATTTCCTCCAAGAAGATAAGAAGTCCGCAAAGACTCTCAGGACAAAAGTGACTGGGAAATTACCCTTCCTGGACTATGCTACGAAAGAGCTTCTCTATCATTCCAACACTGCCGAAAGTCTAGGAATTTCACAGCAGCCATTCTTTCAAGAATTTTCAGCTTCTCTGGATCATTGGATCAAGCTCCATAATCTACTTGAGCAATTCAAGGTCCGCCGCTACGCCCCCAGAACAGATATTCTGTACATTTTTGCAGATCTCGGATTTGCATCCCTCGTCGATAGCAGGCTTCGGGATAACAATCAGCGTTCAACCCACCGCTGGCCTAATCAACGGTTTAGGACCCCTTTTCATGCCGCTGTAAATGGGGGCCACATAAACATAGTCAAAGGTTTCCTGAGTAACATGGGAGCGGAAGAATTAAATGACCCCGTGCGGAAGAATGAAACTCCTTTATTCACAGCTGTGGAAAGGAGACATGCTGGCATCGTGGAATTGCTGCTAGAAGCTGGAGCAGACCCGAATTTTCAAGGATCTAAACCGGGCGTTGATCTTCTTTCTCAAGCGATTGAGACTAAGCGCCAGGATATTGCCGAGCTTCTTCTTTCCAGAAATTTCTCGATCAGAAACTCTCGGGAACTGGATTCGCCAGCATACCCTCTTGTAGCTGAGAAAGGACGATGCCGGCGTAGATCTCGCTTGGAGATAGATCTAGCCAGGTGTAGCGATGACGTGCTGTATGAAGCTGCTCGGAATGGCCAATCAACAACTGTCAGGCTACTCCTCGAAAAGGGAGCTCAGGTCAACTTCATCCCTAAAGAACGCAGTTCACCGTTGCATGCAGCCGTGACTAGTTCTGATGAATTTTGCGCAAGGCTTCTTATCGAGAACGGCGCTGACGTCAACCTGATCCCTCCGAGATTCAGCTCGCCGTTATATACAGCTGTGGGCTCCAGCAAATCCTGTGTGGAGCTTCTTATTGAGCACGGTGCCGATGTCAACCTTGTCTCTCCGGGATTTGGTTCACCGTTGCTTGCAGCTGTGAGGGCGTCCGACGAATCCTGTTTGAAGCTTCTTATTGAGAACGGTGCTGACGTCAATATTACTTCTAAAGGATTTGGCTCACCTCTGCATGAAGCTGTGAAGTCCGACGAATACTGGGTAAAGCTTCTTATTGAGAGCGGTGCCGACGTCAACCTGGTCGCCAAAGGATTAGGCTCGCCGTTATGCCTAGCTATAAAGAAGTCTCAAACTTCCTGCGCAAGGCTACTGTTAGATAACGGTGCCGACGTTAACGTGGGCTCTTCGACCTTCCAGACACCTTTATATTGGGCTGTCAACACCGACAAGAGGTCTATGGTGAAACTTGTACTTGAGAACGGTGCCAATCCAGATCTTCCCGGAGACGAGTATAGGGGAAGAACCCCACTTCATCTCGCCATCTCTTTAGCAAACATACCCATTGTGTTACTACTTCTCGAGGGGGGCGCAGACATTGAGCCATCTGGGTGCGATGTCAGCCCTCTTCAACTTGCGTTGCGGCTTGGCACTGAAGAGATTTCTGCAATACTTATCGAGAAAGGAGCGAACATCAATTCGACAGACGATAGAGGTCTTACAGCTCTCCATATTGCGGCACAGAAGGGTTCCTTGAAGGCGGTGAAAAAGTTTGTTCAATTGGGGGCAGACATCCACTGCACCGATCATAAGGGAAGAACACCACTTTTACTCGCTTGCGAAAGCCATAACTATGCAGTCTCTGCATTACTATTCAATCGAGGCGCACGTCTGCGAGAAGCTGGCTCAAGCAACAATACGCTGTCCTACGCAGAAGACCTGCATAATCATGTAGAGCAATTTCTTCAACTCAGGGCTGACCACATTAACGGGAGGAACGAACTTGGCCAAACACCTCTATTCGAGGCATGTCGCCTTGGTGCTGTTGACATCGTCAAGCTACTGCTTGAAAGGGGCGCTGATGCAAAAGTCCTCGACAATGAGGACCAGACTGCCCTGTTTGCCATCCAGCGCAGCCACGTACACAGCGGCCGCCTGGTGAGACTGTTGGTGGAAGCTGGCGCTGATCCTATGCATGAAAACAGCAAGGGACTGACATTCCTCTATGCAAGTGATGGCTTTCCCAAGCTTGAAGTTTGGGAGATGAAAGAAGTTTTTGAATGTATCAGGCAGGGGCAATTGGACGAAAGTAAGGCCATCAGGACCTTACTTGGCCAAGCTGCTTTCCACGACGATATAGCCCGTGTCAATTTCCTCCTATACGTCGGCGCTGATCCCAACAAGAGGTATAAAGGGGGCGGAACACCCATCTACGACGTGGCCAGGTACGGGGCCACGAGTGTAATGAACCGTCTTGCCCACCTCCTTCTAGAGGCCGGCGCCGATGTCACGATACCGGGTGAAGACGAGCTAAGCCCTGTAGAGCTGGCGATTAAAATGAAAAGGTACAGCTTCGCAGAACTTCTGCGATCTAGACCAGAGTAAACACCTAGACACACTCCTACCAATCAAATTCTTTGGCACAATGATTGAGCTCCTGAGACTATCTCTATTTCTTTCTGAGCATTTATGGCAGGTAGTCAATTGAACAAATGACGAATAATGCGCCAGTCTTTTCTGGAGATTGACAAATTTGAGAGTACTTTATGTCTGCAGTACGTTCACAATAGAAGCCGGCTTCGGTTGGCCGAATTGCCCCGCCTTTCTCCGTTCCGCGGGCAACTGTCCCACCGAAGAGACGTCGTGATATAATTGTATCTATATGCATTTCAAGAGATCAAGGATAGGATTGATGTAAACAAACCTTTGAAACACTGAAAAGCATTCACTGAAGGTAGATCCAGCCAACAGTATGCGTTGCAGGCTTTGAGCAGAAGCCATCAACTACGCCCTTCACTCCCTGCCCGGCCTATCGCCCAGCCCCCGCCACGGCCGATGCCCCACTCTTCCTCCGACCCCGCGCCGAAGTGCTGTTGATTTATCATCTCTCAACCTCATTCACAACATCTCAATCTGACAAACCACTATCTCGCCCATCTTTTCAAAAAGACTCAGTTATATTTGCGACATATTCCTTATTTGACCTCACGACAAAGTCGAACCAAAAACACCGCAACAATGGCTCAAATCGAAAAGGTCCTCACCACCGCCGCCCCGGCCCCCCTCCCCCAATTCTCCCAGGCCATCAAGTACAACGGAATGGTCTACTGCTCCGGCAACATTGGCATCCTGCCCGACAAGCCCGGCATGGTCCAGGCCGAGGGAACCGTCAAGGACCGCACTGTAAGTCTTATCTAGTCTTATCTCCCCCCAATCTCATCATAATCCCTCATCTCGAAAGCAACTGTCAACCTTTTTGAGGTGAATCAAAGCTGACACCCAACCCAGCGCCAAGCCCTCAAGAACCTCTCCGCCGTCCTCGAGGCGTCCGGCAGCAGCCTCCGCAACGCCGTCAAGGTCAACGTCTACATCACCAAGATGGCCGACTTTGCGACCATGAACGAGGCGTACGACGAGTTCTTCACCTTTGACCCCAAGCCTGTGAGTTGTCGTCCCTATTTTCGATCCCGGGTGAGCATTTCTGACATCGAAAAAGGCCCGCACCTGCGTTGCCGTCTACCAGCTTCCCCTCGGCACTGATGTTGAGATTGAGTGCACAGCATTCCTCAACAAGCCTGCTGAGAAGCTGTAAGAATTTTGCGAATTGGCTAAAGATACCTGGCGGGAAAAAAGACGTTTGACATGAGTTATGAGATGGTTTCTTGTCTTTGTTGAGTTGAGCTGAGGCCACTGTTGTAGCAATCATAAAAAAATACATCTTCGTGCTACCACATCACGTTTTCAAACCGCAATATGCCTCGTTCTCAGTCAAGGTGAAGAGAGCGCGGTACTTTAATGGTAAACCGAGGGCTACAAAAGCCCCGCACTGCTTGAATCTATAATCACTTTCCGCCCGTAGTCTTTGTAGTCCGAACGCCTGTTTTAAACATACAGAGCCCCACCCATCATGTCTTCGTCAAACTCCACAATGCGCTCCTTTTCAGTTTCACCGTCGGTACTTAGCCAGCTGGGCCATAATGTTCTCAACCTGCGCGGCCTGATCGCCGCCTGCGGGCGCGGAAGGAGGGTGACCGTTGGCATGGCCGTTTGCAGCACCGTTGACGGCGTAAGCCTGGCCGCCGTACGAAGCAGGCTGAGGCGCGGGTGCAGGTGCAGCTTGAAGACCGCCAAGCATTGCCTGAATCTGCGCGGCCGCAGGTCCGCCATTTGCACCTCCTTGCGCGCCAAAATGCGCCAGCAGCTGCTGCAGAGTGGTGTTGTCGACACCGCTCATGATGTTGGCAATGTCGGCCTGGTTAACGGCTGGGGCCTGAGGAACAGCTTGAGGCGGGAGGCGCTGTCCCTGGGGAGGGTAGGCGGGCGCATGGCCAGGAGGCTGGCCTCCGTAAGGTTGACCACCGTAGCCCGGGTAGGGCTGCTGAGGGGGAGGCTGGTATGGCGGGGCTGCACTGGCCTTTTGCCTGAGGACGAGCTCTGCCGCGATTTTGGGCTCAATGTTGTCATAGTCTTCGAACATGGCTTGGCCACCAGGGGCCTGCTTGAAAACCCTTAAGGGAATCCTTCCATAGTTGTGAGCCTGCATGTCGAGATCGACGACGCCGTGGACACCCTCCGCAGCCAGTCGTGAGATGAGCGCCTCGCGAGGGAATCTGGGGTTGAAGAACATGACCGCAACTTTGAGGCCCTTTTCGGTGAAGGGGTGCTGAACCCATGCGACGAATTCGTTGGCAAGCTCTTGGAGAAGAAGAATTTGGACGTCCGGGACGTCATTGCCGTAGCGGCGAGGGAGGTCAAGCTCTGCACCGGGCCGTTCATACGCCTTGGGCGGGCTGGGCTCGCGCCAGCGGTAATTGTCGTTGCGGCCGTGGCTCTGGGGGGATCTGGAGCGGCCTCGAGAACGGTCGTCGTAGTAGCGATCCCGGCCGTGACTATCTCTGCCGTAGCTGTCGCCTCTAGCGTGGCCGTTCCGGCGAGGAGATGCGTTGCGACCAGGTCTGTAGTCGTCCCGACGTCGGTCGTTGTGGCCTCCCTCATGCCGGTCTTGACGGCCTGATTGCCGACCACCACGGCCGCCGCGGTCGGGTGAACGATTGCGCTCATTGCCGCCCTTGCTCTTTTGTACTTTCGAATACTCAAGGTCTAATGGAAAAAGGTTAGCTCTGCCTCATGCCCAATCCGCCTGGAAACACTTACGAATCTTGCGTCCCTTGATTTCGATGCCCTGAAGGTTGTTCATAGCAGCTTGGGCATCCTCCAGGTTGTGATACTGGACGAAGCCATAGGCACTCTTGAGGGAGATCTGGGCGAGCTGGCCGTATTTGCAAAAGATTTCAAATACGTCGCGTTTGGAGACACGTTCGCTCGACAGATTGCCTGAAAAGAAGTCAATGGCGCCGTCAGGTCGGCCTGATGAGAGAGAGCGCGAACCAATAAAGATGCGTGAGCCATCTGGAAACTTATCCCACTTGGCCTCCGCCATGTAGGAGCGCTCGACCTCGAGGAACTGGTCATAGTGCGACTTGCGGTCATTAGTGTCAGGGTGATTGGAGTACGGCGGCGCAGTCATTTGGACGGGCGTGGTGCCGGGTGCACCCGCGACTACGTACGGAGCGGCTGTACTGGATGGATGGGGGTTCTGATTGGAGTAGATGACAGATGCCTGGGTGGGCATTGGAGGTCTTGGAGGAAGGGTGGCGGCAGCGGCGGACGATGACAAGCTGGAGGCGGGTTGGGCTTCATGGTTCTGAGCAGTGGCAGAGGCATTGGCGGAGCCAGCCGGGCTTTGATCGTTGGCATCGCTGGCCTGGCCGGTCATCTCAGTGAGCAGTTGAGAGATCTCAATGGCGGGGTCATCCTCGACGTGGGCATCGCGCGAGGTGGCGGTAGCTGATGGGCTTGATTGCTGGGCGACGGCAGGGCGGGCCGAGGACGGATCAGCGACGGGCGGAGAAACCACTTGATGGGTTGTCAAGGAATCAGACGCGGCGGAATTGTGCATGGATTCTGGTGCCTTTGATACATCATCCTGTTCAGCGCCTTCCTCGACCTGAGAGTCGAGGTACTTGAGGTATTCATCCTCGGCATCTTGCTCCACTTGTTGCTCCTGCACCTTGTCCGCGCTCGTCTCTTCTTCCTCTCCATAGGCGTTGAGGCTGTCGTCATCGTCGTCCTGGTCGCTGGCGTTGGCGTTGGCGTCGGCAGCAGCGTCATGGCTGGTGGTGCCGTTTGTGATTTCAGCCGCAGCCTTGTACACGGGAGCGACTGCGTTCAGGCCGCCTTGAGCGATTGCGTTAGTTTGGGTGGACATTGCATCGAGGATGTCAGCAGTATCCTGGAGGACAGGCACAACGGCGGGAGCGGCGGAGTGCAGAGGGGATGGAGAAAGAGGCGAGAGGTCGGCGGCAGTAGCCTGGAACTCCGGAATGGCTTCTGGCTCGGGCATCAAGTTGCTGGCGGTCGCGTGCGGGAGTGACGATGGGCGGCTCGACAGCTGTGTGCTCGCTGGGCCCGGTGGACGAGGCTGGCGGAATTGGCAAAGCTCAGAGTCTGGGAGTCCGGAGGGGTGGGAGATGGAAGTTGGAGTGGATCAGAAGATGGGCTTTATGTCAGAAAAGAATTGACAACAAGGCGACCGGACGCCTCGTTTTCTCTGATTTTAGTCGAGCCGCGGCTGTGTCGTCATGTGCGCAAGGCAGGCAAGCACGGTTGATTGATTGGTTTGGGGGGTTTCCAGAGGGGGAATGGAAACGAAGGCGGGGGAGCAGTAGGCGGGAATAGAAGAAGAGATTGCAGACACGGGGGAGTCTCCGATGAGCGGACGAAAGAAAAAGAGCTATCGGCAGCTCTCCCAAGGATGGCAGGCAATTTACCAAATTTCTTCGAAAAGCTTAGTGTCCAGGGCGGAAAGGGTAGATAGATTGTCGGTCAGGCTGGGAGATGAGTGTAGAGTAGAGTAGAGTAGAGTAGAGGGAGAAGACCGTTGGCGTTGGACACTTGAGAACCGTGGGCACCGAGAGGTTCGGAAAGAGGTAGCCGCAGGTTGTATGTAGCTTGGAGAAAGAGCCAACGGGTGTTGCGGTGGTGGGAAAAAAGGTTAAGCAGAATTAAGGTACGAGGCCGCGTGGGAAAAAAATCTGAAGAAGTCGGTAGGTGGGCTGGGCTGGGCTGCCTACCGGGCAGTGATCGGTGCAGGGCATGGTAAGTAAGGTGGGTGGCAGGCAGCGGAGCGGAGGCAGGCAGGCAGCCCAAGCTCTTTCCCGTTTCCCGCGCACCAGGTCGTTCCCGTCTGCCACTGCAAGTGCAACCACAAGGCTGCGCTGCAGAGTCGACCAATGTCACCTCGGGAAAACGCTTCAGAGCCACAAACGGCGCTAACTGAATGTGGTAGGCGGATGCCACTATTCCCGAACGAGAGGCCGTGTGTGGTACGGTGCAAGATGACGAAACGCACGGCTCAGCTCTCGCTCATCACCAAGCTCCACCAACATTGATTGTCAATGAAAACCAGCAGGACGGCATTCATCACTCTTTTTGGCACTTCTGTTTGCCTGTGATTGGTCAACCGGCTCTTCACTGCCATACACAGCATATTGGATAGAAGCGGCCTGCTTGCCCAATTAGCCCTTAGTGTGTCTATGAAAACTTGGACTTTGCAAACATCATGACGACAATAGCCAGCCTCATCCAGTCCACACGGCCCTCAGTCTTCAGACCTCTTTTCCGGCCCATACATGCCATCCGTCGGGCAAGGTTTCAGGCCTTCGAAGACTCTTTCGACCCGGAAGAACTAAAGCAGGCGAGATCATGGCACAAGACGTTTGACGGAAGCCAACTACCACAAGGCCAAACAAGTTACGCGCGTTCAAGCGGTCCTGGAGGGCAACATGTCAACAAGTAGGTTTATTCACGCGTGCATGGGTTGCTGGGCTTGATGACAAGGCATGGGCCATTTACTAACGCCGACCAGAACTGAGAGCAAAGCAATCACTGCTTGGCCCGTCAAGGACCTCCTCCCAATGCTGCCGAAACTGCTGCATCGGGGCATCAGAGAGTCCAAGTACTACACGGCAAGGTCGGACTCCTTGACGTTCCAGGCTCAGGAGCATCGTCAAAGGTCCGCCAACTCGGATGAGAACCAGCAAAAGCTCATCGACGAGGTACAAAGAATATACCGCGAAACAGTGCCAGGAGAGACGAGCAATGAAAAGAAGAAGAAACACGCAGAAATGTGGGCTGACATGTCACGTTTCACCGCATCAACTGACATCCCCGCAGAGCCAAATCTTTCAACGAAGGACGGCTGAAGCAAAAGAAGCACCTGAGCTCCAAGAAGCAGAACCGTCGGGTGTCTTTCGATTAGAGTACCGCTATGCGGCTCTAGCCCCTAGGGAATTTGGAAGGACAGCCGCCCTGAGTCACGACACGTGCCCAAACTTTCAGTTCGCCTTGCGATGGTTGGCTGAGACACGCAAACATCCCATCGTCGCGGGTGGGGTCAGGCCTAGCTAAGCTAAGGGCCAGCCAGGCGGCAAGCAAGAGGGGCCAGGCTTGGACCCTGAACTTTTGACTCAGGTTTTGGGGAGGTACAGAATCGGGATTGCCGTCTGCGAGTCTGGTTCGTGGCTCCCATGTTTAGGGAGACGGACTGCGCCGTGGGCTCACGGGAAATGAGTTGATGCTGTTGGGCTGGGGAACTGACTGATGCAAATAGGTGAACTCCATCGCGTAATGCGACAGGGGGCTCGACGAAGTTGTAAGATGTGTGTACCAGGTAAATGTAGAAAGCACGGCCATGTCTCCGATAGCTGAGAATGCCGAGAATCCTTCAGTGTCAGTGTTCAACGATAGTCGTCAACCATCGTGCCATTCATATCGACCAAAAGACATAAAGATGTTCTTGCTTATGGCAGAAATGATGGGACTGCGGCTGAAAGACGGCAGAGAGGTTCTTGGGGGCTGCTTCAAAACCCATGCCGGGCCAGTAGCAGCAGTGGTGGGGACCCCCGTGCTCGCGCCGGGAGTGATGTCGGGTGCTATATCTCGCTGTGACCTGGGACTCCTGGTTGGGCCCGGGCCGCTTTCACCCTCAGGCGGCTGTCACCGCTCAACCTCCATCGTGGACGCGTCTCTGGTTGCGTTGGCTCGAGGAGAATAACGCGAGCGAAAGGAGGACGGTATGAAAAAGGCACATGTCAGGTCTGGCGGGGGAAAGTCGGGAGATGATAATCCCCAAGGTAGTGGCCAAAACGGCATCCAGCTGGGGACAACCAGCGACCTGTCTCACTCTCCGGGGCCAGCTGCGGGACCCCGAGTCCCTTATGTCTCCAGCTGGCACCGCTAAGCTCCCTAGTCCCACGGGATTTTTTTAGTGCTACACACGAATCCACTCGTTCGTCTGTTTCCTGTGCCGTCTAATTCAGCTCGAATCCTCCTCTTCTTCTGCTGTGCCTTTCTTCCCACTCTCGCCATCGTTTGCTGCTACTTTCCGTCCATCGAGTCTGCATCTGCTGCGCATCGCGTGCTGGAAGACCTCATCAGATTGATCTGCGACATAGCGTCATAGTGACAGCGCATCACCCCCTTCATCTATCTCTGGTCGCAATTATCCCTGGCTCGAATTAGCCCCGCGAGACCCTCTGAAGGGGAAGTCAACACTGCAGTGCCGCTGCCGGGGACTGTCGATCATCAGCCCAACTGCCCAAGCAGAACGAGCACACAACTTCTCGCCTTGCCCGCCCCGTCAGCAGCTGTTTGCTTCCTGCAACCTCCAACAAACCACGACCTTGGCCTTTGAAGAAAAACCTCGAAGCGAACGCTCAAAGCCTGCCCCAGCATTGCAGCTCCCCGTAAACAAAGGACCGACCGACGACCCAAAGACCGAACTACCGCTAGCTGCAGTCGAGGCGACCCCAACGCCGACCGCGCTTACCCCGCCAACAATTTGATCTCGCGACCCCCGACCGACCTTTCAACCCACCACATCCCCGACAGCCCTCGACCGCAGGGCTTCCTCGCGGCCTCACCTTGCGTCTCGATACCCTACAGACAATCGCGACAATGGCTACGAACGGCTCTGACAAGCCTCAGGTCCAGCCCTGCAGGTACAAGGTCGGCAAGACGCTCGGTGCCGGCTCGTATTCCGTCGTCAAGGAGTGCGTCCACATCGACACCGGTCGCTACTATGCCGCCAAAGTCATCAACAAGCGATTGATGGCCGGCAGAGAACACATGGTTCGCCGATTCGCTGTACTCTGAGGCGTCCGACCCGACTAACATGCTCTGCAGGTCCGCAACGAGATTGCAGTCCTGAAAAAGGTCTCCATGGGCCACCAAAACATTCTCACCCTCGTCGACTACTTCGAGACGATGAACAACCTCTACCTTGTCACCGATCTGGCCCTCGGCGGTGAGCTGTTCGACCGTATTTGCCGAAAAGGCTCTTACTACGAGTCCGACGCCGCAGACCTCATCCGCGCCACCCTCTCCGCAGTTGCTTACCTCCACGACCACGGTATCGTCCACCGAGACTTGAAGCCCGAGAACCTGCTTTTCCGCACACCAGAAGATAACGCCGACCTCTTGATTGCCGACTTTGGACTGAGTCGTATTATGGATGAGGAGCAGTTTCACGTGTTGACGACGACGTGCGGTACTCCTGGCTACATGGCCCCCGAGATCTTCAAGAAGATTGGCCACGGCAAGCCTGTAGACGTCTGGGCCCTCGGCGTCATCACATACTTCCTCCTCTGTGGATACACCCCCTTCGACCGCGACAGCGATTTTGAGGAAATGCAAGCCATCCTAAACGCCGACTACAGCTTCACCCCCTTCGACTACTGGCGCGGCGTCTCCGAGCACGCCAAGGACTTCATCCGCAAGTGTCTAACCATCGACCCGAAGAAGCGCATGACGGCGCACGAGGCTCTGCAGCACCCCTTCGTTGCGGGCTACCTCAACGGCGAGGGCGAGGGCCAGAACCTGCTGCCCACCGTCAAGAAGAACTTTAACGCCCGCCGGACATTGCATGCTGCCATTGACACAGTCCGCGCAATCAACAAGCTGCGCGAGGGCCAACAGAACCTTATGGATGGCGCCAAATCCCGCGAGCCCGATCGTGGGCTTAAGTCCCCACCGAACGCAAAGAAGGACGATAGTGCCATCAGCATGGGCAACACAAATCACAAGGATTCGGGCTACGGCACCCAGCCCGAGGCGGACAACCAGAACGACGTTGTCATGACAGATGCGGGACCGACACAGACCAGCGTGCCCGCAAGTCTGCGTCCAGGCAGTGAGCAGAACAAGGTCGTTGAGACAAGCAAGGGATTGTGGAGCGGTCCCGCACTGCGGCGATAGTCTCGAGGCGGTGTAGGACTACATGTGAAAGCCATTGCCCCTGATGAGGACGCCAAAATGGGCCGCTCTCAGTGGGAGTATCTAGTTCTCGATACCCGCCCAAGACTTCACCTCGGCATAGGGAATACGTGGCGGACTTTCATGCACATGCGAGGCGCCCGCGCACGGCGGCCACGCGAAGATGGTGGAATGGCCCCGAGTTCGGCCCCTCGATTTCACGATGCTCTCTGGGCAGGGCCCCATGCTCAGAGAGCCTGATGGAGCGGGTTGAGTAAAGAGAAGGAAAACAAGATACCTTGGGTTGATGTCCGCGGACTGGCTCCGTCGTTGGACGAGGGGTGGGCGTCTCGCGGCACCCCCATTTCTTTTCGTTTTTGATGTTTGGGCGGATTCCTATAGCATATATCAACAACAGGACCCGGATGGAAAGCCCTATAATGACATGAAGAATGCAAAACTCGGTCTTGTCTGACTCATACTGTGATTGTGTAGTTGGATGTGCTGTAACGGTCGTTGTAACTCAGCGAGATTCCTTTCTGTTTGCCTGGATGCGTAAGGATGCGTTCATGCTCTTTCCCCAGACCACGAGACGACAACTGCGGCGTGGAGGCAAGCTAGGCCAAAGAGGACCTTTAGAATACGTTTACCCAGAAACCGACAATTTCAGCACGCTAGCTGTCGAGAAGGAGAGTCAAGTCAATAGGGATGTATGCTGTGGGCTCGTTAGTCCCCTCTTCTGGACATCCATGTTTCGAGGTTGAATACGTTTGGGTTGGCAAATCACAATACAGCTACTCCCTTAGACAGGACTCTATTGACTGAGTCGAAGGGGAAACTTGGTCTCCATAAGTCTGCTCACTCGGTGTTGCCCCTCTGGATATGACATCAGATTCACACAAGCAGTCAATCTTCTGACGATAACCGCAATATGACAGTACGATAGCACTTTTTTATGTCGTCTCATTCGTCAAGGACGCAAAAAACTGCCACACTCATCCTTCCGGCAAGATTTTCAGGACGTCGACAGCCCAAGACTCCTAAGAAGCGCACCCGGCCCAGGCTCACGACCGAGGAACTCGGTCATGAATTCCATCTCCTGTTTGCTGGCCCCATACTCTAAGATCCCATGACGGTAGCGGTCCCAGGCCTCGGGATCCCGCGGGTCCTTGGAAAAGTTGGACTCGAAGAAGTCTGCCGCGAAGGCGTGGGCGCTGTAGAAGCATCGTCAGCTGCGGCTGCTTGGGGGAGTGTCAGGGGTAACTTGCCTGAGATACGAGAAGTAGCCCGCGTCGTAGAGGGTGATGAGATGGTTCGACTGAACGTATCCAACACTATTCTTTTCGGGGCTTTTGGTAAGAGTAAGAGTCTCCTTGAGGTCGTTGTAAAGCTTGACCTCATCCAACTCCCTTACTGCGTCGGTAGACTTCTGGTTGTTGACATCCAGGTCGAACTTGGCGAACAGGCTACCACAATCAGTTCCCTACACTCACAGATTTCAGAATTCGCGACTTACATCTGCCTCAGAAACCACAGCGCACGATTCAAGCTCCGGCTCTCGACTAATCGCTCTACAAGCTTCTCGTCAATCTTCTCAGCCAGCAGCTCGGCGTCATCGTGGTCCTCCTTCCACTTGACCGCATAGGCTGGGTCCACGCGGGTGTAATGCCGGCTCATCTTGACCAGCTCATCCGGCATCCAGCACCAGTTCTCGAGCATGGTGCTGGGGGCCTCGCCAAAGTCGGGCTTCACGCGGGTGCCGTGGAAGCGGGTGTACTTGGTTCGGCAGATCAGATCGTGGAGGGCATTGCCTAGTTCTGTTTGGTGTTAGGAAGCGTTCAAGGTGTAGTGAATGGATACGTGCCGTGGAATAGTGTGACGACTTGTCGGTGTTTGAGGAGGGCGCAAGATGCTGCTGATGGTGGTTGGAAGGCGCACATCAGGATTGTGGCGGGATAAACTCTAGTACCATCTCCTTTGATATAGCTCTGTAAGTTGTTAGCATTCGTTTCGATGTCATCTCGAAGTAGCTTACACATTGCAGGTTGACGTTGCAGTTTCCACGATACTTTCCCTCCCTCCAAATAACATCAGCATAAAGATATCCCACAAACTCGTCCTTTCTCTCCCCTCTTCCCTCCCAAACGCTCCAGACCTCAATGTTCTCAGCCCAAAGCTTTCCAACCAAGTCTTCCTCCGGTACAGGCACAAAATCCAGTCCAAGGAACTGGTTGAACAATCCCAGCATCGACGACAGGGTGTGCTGCAGGGGGAAATACTCCGATATCAACTCGTGCTCGACGTTGGCTTCTTCCTCAAGCAGTCGAGTGTAGTACTGGTAATCCCAAGGCAGAATCTCCGCCTCCTCCACGGCGAGATGGGATCTCTTCTTTGCTTCAAGCCTTTCAATCTCCCCCCTCCCTTTCGGCAACAAATCCTTGATCAACTTATTCAGAAACTCGTTAACCCACTCTGTTGACGGCGCGGTTCTCTCCCGAATCCGAAAGTCTGCGTGGTTCTTGTACCCCAACATTCTCGCGTTCTCATCCCTGAGAATGATCATCTCCTTGTAAAGGGGGACATTCTCACCCAGCCTGACGTCGTATGCAGCAAACATTCTCTTCCTCGTCTCAGGTTTATTAGCGTATCGCTGGACAGCTTCATTATCCCCCCTTTCCAATGGCACAAAGATCTTCCCGTCTTCTTCCTTCCACCTCGCCATCTCCTGTGCCGAAACACCCTCCAACTCATCTTTCTCAAACCACAAACCCGTCCCCTTCCCACTCAGATTGTTCTGAAAATCCCTCTTCAGCTCTTCAATTCTCTCCCGCCGGCTGAGATACATCTTGATCTGCTCTTCATCAAGCGCCCCATGGCCGGCGCGCCGAAACTGCGACCACATATCTTCTAAAATCTTTCGCTCCTCGTACCCCAGATCTTCATTCTTCTCTTTGACGGCCTGGATAAGCTCGTATACGTCCTTTCGCTTGAGGTTCTCTCCGCCAGCTGCCGACCAGAGCTCCTGCGCCTCTTGGACTGCTTGACGGGTGAGCTCGTCGGGGCCCGAGTAGCGCAGCATGGCGTAAACACCCGACTCCCCCTGGATTGCATCGTCGACGGCTTGAATTGGCGCAATGACGTTCTGGTAGCGTGCTTCGGAGAGTGAGATGGTCTTTACGAGGGTATCGCGGATGGAGGATTGCTCTGCTATAAATCGTTTGATCAGGTGGACAATCTCGTCCGCCGAGAGCATTGGCTGAAGTGGTTGAGGAGGTTTCTGAGCCATTCTGCGCATTTTCCGTTCACTATGTGTGTTTGAAAACCAACGAGTTCAATTGAGTAATAACAGCTTCCAGTAGTTCATTGATCATGACTACTGAAATACATTTATATCAATCCCAAGCAACAACCAAGACACCTCTCAACAGCCTCAATCAACATCCTAACTCCATCAGGCAGGTCGACCGCAGCGTACCTGATCCAAAAGATAGATTGTCACCAACTGATAGTCCATCCCCTGAACTATCTACCGTTCGGGAGAAAAAGCCTCATCACGCGGTCTCACAAACGCCCCCCGGCCCGCATCCGCGCCGCAGACCCGCGTCCCGGCGACGTAACACCACCACCGCTCCGGAGACTTTCGTCTCCACCGCGGCCCCGATGATTGGGTCCCCCGACCGGTCACGCGCGCGTGAGACCTGCAGCGCCATGCCGTACTACCACTTCCTAAATCCTGATTCGGCAAATGCGGCGCAGGTCCTGAGGGTAGGTTCCTGAATTAGTGATACGCTGAGGCTCGTTGGACCGCTCAGAGGCTCAAGCTTGTGTGGGATTTGGCTCTTGCAACGTTCAGAAATATTTGAAAGCTTGTGCCAGAGACGACACGGACGTGGCGTGGGGATTATGCGGTATCTCGAGATGCCGTTTGGGGAGTTTCTGATGGCTCGGAATGGCGATTTGGAGATCTGGCCATCTGTGCGAGACGGCAAAGGGAAGACTAACGTGATTAGGAACATCTGCTTTGGGTAATATGGTCAGTGTCCATGGCGGGATAGATCTCGCCTCAATGCCAGCTTCAGCTTCAGCTTCAGCTTCAGCTTCACATCGCCTCCCGTCTTCAGTTCACCCCTGCGACCCCGGATCAAGTTTTGCCTCAGGTCATCTCTTCTACCATAATGCAGTCTCAGGACCATATCGACCAAGTCTGCCCAAGACAAAGACTCACGAAGACTTCAACCACCTCAGACAGCTTCAGAGACGAGCAAGATTGCATAAGCATTGCTCGGCAGCACGAAGACGGTCTTGGCAAACCAAGTCGCCTCCCTGGGCAAGCTATTCCCCCAATGACCAAAGAAGGAAATCAGCTCAGCTAAGCTCATCCCTCCCCAGACAGGATACCCAATTCATCGGAAATCCATCTCCAAAATCGCCATTCGCCATTCGCCCCCCTCTTCTACCCACGGAGAAGACTCCCTGGACACCCTCCCCGACCAACAACAAGGGCCGTACAGCACGCAGAGCTCCCTCCAGCTTCCATCGCCGACGGCTAGAAACATCATAGCAGTTCATGCCATCTGGCTACATGGTCACAGCTTCCCACCCCCGCGTGATCGAACTTGCCAACCACCAGTGGATTTGCCTCCCCCAGAAGGAGACTACTGTCATGCGAACAGCCTCACGCCAGGCGGGTACGGCAGGTAGACGTTCTTCATCTCAACTACAGCATTGGCGCCAAGCAGTCCAAGTAGCCAAGCGGGCCTGCTAAATGGCCAAGCTTTCCTCTCTTTAGACTCAAAGTAGAGCCTGTTCCCCAGAAAACTGCTTAAGGCCCTGATCTGCCACATTCTTGTGTTTTTTGACCCCTTGAGGGCTCTACTTTAGAGGTATAGATATAGCGTATATACTACTGCTAAGTTAACGTTAGCTAAAAGTATTAAAGTAACTATAAACGATAAATATCTTACTAACTCCTTATACTTAAGTAAATATAGAATTACTAATATATAACTTTAGCTACCTAAATTTACTAATTTTAATATTAAATATTTAGATCTTATATCTTCTAAGCGTACTTTTATATATTAGAGTAATCTATAAAATAAACTATAATTTTAAGTATTTTAATAATAATAATAGCCCTCTTAGTATATAAAAAATAGTGCTTAATAAGATCTAAGTAGCTAAGTCTTCTCCTCTTAATTTAGAGGATAAAGGACCTCTTATTAATAAGCTTTTATCTCTACTAACACTTAGCTAATCTAGCTTTAGTTAGTTAACTTAGTAAAATTAAATAAATAAAAAGATATATTAAACGCTAGCTTTCTATAATAAGTTCTTATACTTTACTTTTAAGTATTAATAGGGTAGTATTATTATAAAGATAGTAATACTAGAGAAGCTAATAAGTATTATTCTACTTATTTTAATAGTAAAGTTTCTAAGAAACCCTTTCTCTATTAAAACTTTTATTAATAAGTATAGAGCTACTTATACCTTATTTAAGAAAGTTAAAGTATTAATAAGACTTTTTAGTATTAAGTATAATAATAAATTAAGTAAAATCTTAATAACTTAAGAGTATTAATATAACTAATATACTATATACTTAAGCTACTAATAAGTAGAGTAATATAGTTTACTTAGTATAAAGATACTTTTAGAGTTAATTTAGCTATTAAAGTTAGTAACTAGTGAGAATATTATAGAAGTAAGAGATATACTCCCTTATTAACCTACTATATATAAGGAGGTAAGTAGGCTTATAAGCTAGTTAGTAGGAGTATTAATAACTAGGGTAATAGTATATTTACTTCTCTTATAAGTTACTATAGTATTAAGTATAATACTACTTATTACTATATAAATACCTATTATAATGTTAAATAATTATAGCTATAAGTAGATAAGTTAATAATAAGATCTAAATAAGATTGAGGTAGTAAATAGTAATATTAATATCTAGCTGATTTTAGAAAACGTTATAGTTATACTACTAGTAAGGAAGAGAAAGGATAGTTATATATTAGTAATAAACTATATAAGTAAGTATATAAAGTAGATTTTCACTAATAGGTGCTACTAGCGCCCTACTAGCTCTAATAATATTTAGAAAGTAATTAATATATATTAGACCTCACTTAAAGTTAACTTTAAGTTAAAAGGAGTTATTAACGCTTTAAACTTCTTCTTAATAATAATAATAAAAGTAGTAGTATTTAATAGTTTATAAGAGAAGGATAATAAACTGCTATTCTTATAGAGTAATAGTATTAGTTAGGTTAATCTTAGTAGTAAGGTTTTTATACTTATAGAGTGAAGAAGAAGGTTATAGAGGTTAATATTAAGATAAAGTTAAAAGGGGTAATAAGATTAAAGTTAATATTAATATTAAGAGGGTTAGAAAGTGCTAAGTAAGCTAAATATTTACTTATTAAGGGTAGCTACTATTAAGTACTATAAAATACTAAATTAATTAACTATATAGTAATCTACTTTAATTTTTACTATTATAACTTATCCCTCTACCTCTTAAGATATTATTAATATACCTCTTATAGCTATATAGTAAAATTAAAGTAAACTTTATATTTAGGTCTCTTACCTACCTATAATCTCACTTAATTTTTAGCCTTCTTAAAAGCCTCTACTTACTATATATTAATAATATATAGGCTATTAGATTTTACTAAAAAGTTTTATACTACTATTATAATATATATAATATTAACCTAAGTTATAAAGTTATACTTAGCTATATTCTTACCCCTTATAATCTTAAATTTTTACTTTATTAAGCTAAAAACCCTCTTAATAATACTCCTCAGCTTTATATAAGTAAAGTTATATAACTTTTTCCTTAACTATAGCTTTATATTTAACTTAAAGTAGTTATAGAAGTAATATCTCTACTTAATAAATAGCATAATAATATTAGTATTATTTTTACTAAAATTAGTATTAATAAGATAAAATTAACTTATTTCTACTCTAAACGATCTTATAAAGGTATAACTAAGTAGGGTTTTATTATTTATACTACCCTCTATATTAATAAGTATATATAAGAAAATATAGTTAAACTTCACTATAATAAAGATATTTTATAAGATATTACTTTTCTAATTAAAAAACCTCTTCTACTAACTAATTAGTATATAAATAGAGATTAATATCTTATTAATAGTACTAATATATTTATTAAAGATAGCGTTTTTAGCGTTAAGCTTAATATCTAATAAGATATATAATTCTAATAGTAGAGTTATTACTTCTTTATAGAAGCTAATAAAGGTGTTAATTATAATATAGAAGCTTCTTAATATTATACTCTATAATACTTTAAATTAATAAGTAGTATTATATTAAGGCTCTCTAAACGCTAAGATATATAATATAATTAATAACTTATACTTAACTAATTAGTATTAAGTATTATTAATACTATATTAGTATAGCTAGTATATTAGTAAATTAAATATTTACTTTAATAGTTAGAAGATATCTTTAAACTTAATATTAGACTTAATAAGTAAGGCTTTAGCAATTTAAATAGTTTTAGTAGCTTTTTTAGGGTAAATTATAATCTACTTAAATATTATTAAGTTAACTTTATTATTATTATTATTATTAATAATATTATTAAAAGTAATAGTAATAAAAATAGCTATTTATACCTTATTAGAGCTATTATTTATTACTAATTTAAAGAACTTATAAATATCTATCTTAAGCTTACTATATTCTATAGTAAATAAAAGATTAGCTTTTATTTAAAGTCTTTATATTAATAGATTTATTAAGTATCTTATAATAAAGAATATCCCTCTCTAATATCCTCACTAGCTTCTCTATTACTATTATAACTTTAAAATCTTATTCTATAGAACTAATACTACTTTTTTCGTTTTATAACCTTATAAATAGAAAACTAAGTAACTAAGCTTTTCTAAGTAGTAAGAGTATTAATCTTACTACTTAGTAGCTAATTTTTAATATAGTATAATAGCTAGAGGGATCTAAGTATCTATATATATCGTTTTAGCTTCTTCTTAAGTTATATAGTAAAAAATAGGCCTAAAGTAGAATAGCGTAGTAAAAAACAGCATTTTTACTTATTTTATGCAGCTGTAGCGAAGGCGCCAGAAACACGAGAATGTGGCAGATCAGGGCCTAAGCACGCAGAGCATTGAGCCTTACGCTTTTCCCCAGAGCTCTAATAGCTTAAACCGCCCATCTTTCCACAGAGAACGTGCCATGTTTCCTGACAGGGGCAATATATAAGGAGGT